CCTCATTACTGCTTCTCCAGCGACAGTCTCTTGCCTAAAGGGATCATCTGGTCTTTCTTCTGCAGTGCCACTGAATATTGTATCCTCCACAAGGTTAAAAGCACAGGCTTTCATAAAGAGACTCAGGTGTTTTATTTTAATTCCTCAACTTACAAACATTTTGCAAAGGAAATTCAACACCTGCCACTGCGTCATTATGACTATAATTGGGAAACCACAGGACAATACGTTTCTTGGAAGATGTTTAGTTTTGTGGATCCATGAGGAGGATACTAACCCCGGCATGGTGAGAGAGCTCCATCAGCTCCTCCCTGAGGACAAACGGAGCCTTGCATTAGGAGGCAGAGTCACTGAGTCACCTTGCCTTGGTCCATCCTGATAGCAATCACCACTTCACTGTCAGCTGGGCCTTTCATTCCCTTGAACCAAGGTTAAGGAGGTTGATAGGGAAGAGCTCAAGTGTAAACATATTTATCTACAGAATTACTCAACAACAAAAGGTTTAATTAAGCATTTTTTTAACAATTAAAGACAGAAAGATAAGTGTCATGTGTTATAAATGCAGCCAACTGCAATTATTTTCTGATTCATAAAATGCAATCTCTGTTAAAAATGAATTTTTAAAAATTGACTTGGATTTTTTCAAAGTGGGAAATTGCTTTACTCTTTCAAACTACGGCAGCTTCACTGGAAGTTCACCTTGATCATTGGCCTGTTCAATGCCCTCCTACATGAATCTGCAAAATTTAGATATGTACTGTAGAGGAAACAATTTCAATGACTGCAAGATGCTCAGGTTTTTTTTCCTGCTACACAAGCACAAATAATCATACTTTCACCACCGCAATTGGTCTAAAAGGTGTCTGCTGATGTTTAGCATTTAGTTTATGCCAAATGAGGTTCATAAAACCATCTTTATAACTTTCTCTTCCCTCTAAAAGTCATTGTTACACTATATTCTTTTAACATTGCTAACTAAGATGATGCTATCAAGTATGTTTTCTCCTCAAATTTGATCTAAGATGCTAATTATGGTGGTAGAGGGGTTCTGAGCATACATGGTTTGGCTTTGGAGTGAACTTGCATGACATCAATGGATAGTTATGATAAATGGTAATCTGTAAAGCTCAAGCAAGTTTATAATAGAGAACAGAATTTTATAGAGAATATTGAGACTCTTGACAAGGTTTAAAACCTGACACACTGCTTAAAGTTAAAAGGCTGGCAATAAAAAAATAAGACTTCATATTAAAACAAAATTCTCTGTCTCTTTAATTGATGAACTTAATTAACTCATTTAACTTCAAGCTTAGAACCATCTCATCTAATGACAAACAATGGTGAAACAAACGGGGGTTCTGTCCATCCAAAACCATATTTTTAAAATAATTATATTCCCTACATTCTGTATAACAGTCTTTGCAGAATTTTCATTTCCACAACCACCTGCACTGCTTTTGCTCTGTAGCTCTAAACTACTGACCCCTCTTTGTCTGCGCCTTTTTCCATTGGCCACACCAAATACTTACAACTTAAACGTCATTGGTCACTGTATACACTGAGGCAAAATGAAAATGACTGGGGTTGTTTTTTTGTTTTTTTCCAATAGCAATGCTTTGTTTTTCCAACTGCACCTAAAGGTGAAATTTATACGTATCTTAAAAAAGGTAACTTAGTTGAGTGAATATCATATAGCCTCGTTACATGAAAAACAGACTATAAAATACATAATAGGTTAGAACTTAGAGGCTATAATATCAAAATAAATAAAGTAAAAATCTTAAAAAAAAAAGGCATTTTTAATTTCGGTATATGTCATGGATGCGATAGTTTTGGTAGTTTTGACTCAGCAACATCATTTTAATGACTGTTACTCCTTTTTTGTTATTTTAACTGCCGAAATGCCACTCACACATGATGCTGGAAAGATCTGTACATTATTAAAAATTTTTATATAACAAAAAAGCAGACAGAAAAAATCGAACAATTTGGAATACTCAGATACACAAAGTTGTTTTATGAATATATGCTTGTATACTTGGCAGGACAAATTTTAATGGATCCCACTATAACCACTATCAGTATCTTTCAAGGATTCAACTAGTGAGGATCCAGTAGAGATAATTTTTCTCGATCTGTTTCAGATTCTTTACATATTATCTTTAGATAAATTAACATGCTTGTAATCATATTTTTGCTGTCTTTTTATCTTCCCATCACTGAATTTAGGTACATAGAAAACATTTTTATAAACATAACTTCACAACACTCAGATCTATATGAAAAGATCTTTGACCAATCAGACCGGATTTGTCTGGATATTTTCCGGATATCAGACGGATCCATATACTGTGATCTTATTGTATCTTCCCAAATACCAACCCTTTTTTTTTCCAGTATTTGATGTCTGTTTTAGGCAATGAAACTTCATGCTTAGTTCTTGAGTCTTATCTAAACAAGACATTGATTTTGTTGCTTATTTGTTAATAAGCTCAAGGTTAATAATTTCATCATCCATGCATCTTCAAACAAGCTTATCCCAAGTGGGGTCGCGAGGGGTGCTGGTGCCTATCTCCACCTGTCAATGGGCGAGAGGCGGGGTACACCCTGGACAGGTTGCCAGTCCATCGCAGTTGATGAGGAGTCATGAAGCACTACGACACATTGTCAAACTGTACTGATACCAAGTTGACTGACACCTGCTTGACCTTCAAAACTCCTACATGCAGACCATTTGACAGCCTAAAATGACACTGATTTGATCACCTAGGACTATGATTTCAGTTAAATCAGCCCTTTAAAGCAATCTTTTTATGCATTTTGTTTCTGTACTTGCTTGATAAAATTGAAGAAGCTTCTGTTGCATTTATAAAAATTTTTTTAAATCTCCAGGTGAGAGGCAGGGTACACCCTGGACAGGTCACCAGTCCATCACAGGGCAACACAGAGACAAACAACCATTCACACACACACCTAAGGGGACTTTAGAGAAGCCAATTAACCTAACAGTCATGTGATCATTAAGTCATGTCAAGCCAGAGTACCCAGAGAGAACCCACACGTGCTCAGGGAGAACATTCAAACTCCATGCAGAAAGACCCCAGCCCAGGAATCGAACCCTGAACCTTCTTGCTGCAAGGCAGCAGTGGTACCCACTGCCACACTGAACACCCCAGTGGATAATTAATTATTTTTTTCACCAATAAAGAAGTTCCTCGCTGGTTTTCTCTTTTAGGGAGTTGTATATTCTACATGTATGTACAAAACTAAAAAAAGCATAAATGTCAATTTCATAACACCTTGTCATAAGCTGACTTTTTCAACTCCTGGTAAGAGGGCATATAAAAAGGGTTAAAAAATGTCATGAGGTATAATTGTTGTTCTTTAAAAAACAGCCATAGATGAGTTTTCAATAAACACCTGCAATACACCATTGAAACCTAAGAATTGAAACCTAAGAATTGTACACTTAACCTTTCACTTGCTTTGTTGTCTCTTATGCTGCAAAGTGACTCATTTGGGAAAATCAAAATAAAATCCTCAGCAAACCCATAAAGATGATGACAGCAATATTTGTGCTTAATGGGAAAGTTCTAGCCTTACAATTACATGAGCTTAAACCCTGATTTATGTAAATCAAATCTTTTGTTTTGACAGTGTTATAGTGTTATTCTTCTTATGATTGTTTTGCAGAGATAAACAGTGTTTACTGAGAGCTGGTTTAATAAAAGGAATCTCGAGTCCCCGCAATAACTTCCACTACAAATTTTTCCATGATTCCTGGAGCTTATTGCCTGAAGTTTTAAGTTAGCTTTTTAGGCATCTAACTAAAGTCTAAACTTTCTTATGAATTTCTTTATAAGCAGCTGTCCTTGCCTGCAAACTAAATAGAGAAGGTTATATATGCCACAGGCAGTGTGTGCATTAATTTAATAGCACATTATAAAAGTGGGGACAATAAAACCAAAGCTGCTTGGCTCTTACTGATTAGGAGGATAAACAGAAAGAGAGACTGCTGAGGAAGGGGTGTCAGTAATGAAACATGCATAAAAAGTCCTACATATTTGGCACAGTTCTGACAATTGTAGAATGGACTTAAAATGATTGCATCATGTCACATCCATTACTCTAGCAGTTTCACACTTAATACAGATACTTTAGCTTTTTTGTTCCTCAGGCTTTCATTATTTCTAGATTATAGTAATTATTTAATACATGTAAATATGTGCTATACTTCTATCTGTAATGAGTCCCTTTACTGTGATTACCCCTAATGAATATTCAGTGTCACTGCATAACGAGGTAAACAGATTTACTCTTTAAAACCTCGCGGTTTATCAGAGAATGTAATTGAACAATCACCACTATGAAGACCATAAAACAAGGTTTAGAAGAAGTGCACTGCAAATGAAGTCACAAAAGGATATTACAAATTTTGAGCATTGATCAGTGCACAGTATTAAATCTATTTTTTTTTCACTCCCTGTGGATGATCATGTTGCAAAATTGGACTGTAGCATTCAATGTGCTGCATTTTTTTTATTAATCCCTCATATCAAGAATGCATGTAGTGATAGTGGTAAGGAAATCTCCTACTTAACAGGAAGAGACCTACAGCAAAACCTGGCTCATTGCAATTACATCATTTCACCCATATCTAAGACTTGTGTTGCAGAAGATTAAGAATTCATAAAACCCTAAATATAAAAACATCATCTCCATGGTGAAACGTGGTGGTGGTATCATTATGGAATACTTTTCTACAGCATGGACAAGAATTTTTTTAGATTTTAAGGGAAGATGGAGGGAGCTACAATTAGAGCAAGATCAAAGAAGAATGTCTTCTTTAAGGCCTATTTAAAGAAGAATTGTATTTGCAACTTAAAGTGGTTTTAGAAAGTATTGAATCGGTTGGCAATGAGCACAAATGCTTGCAAATAAACTGCATTGATGTGATTGATGATTGATGATTTACTGAATCCATTCTCTTCCACTCTCAGGTGTCCTCAGCCTTCCTGAGGGTCTGACTCTTCATAGGGAGCAGCAGAGAGCAGTGAAGTGCGGAGAGGGGAACTCCTTCAGTCAATCTGAGCTCCGTACCATCGAGCAATGCTTACTGGCCACAAGGGTTGGCAGCATTTCCGAACTCAGTAAGTTTTGGATATTTTTATGAGCTTATTTGTTAGATATAGTCAGAGCATGTGTGTGTATGACCTAAAAACTCAGATTTTAGAAAGGATTTTTGCAATAATGCTTTATATTTTACTTCAAAATCTTTTCCTGAACCGATATTCCCTTTCCCTTTCACCCATATTCAACACCTTATATTTGGAAAAGTTAAATAAGAATCATTTTTAATTGCTTTCATATCTTTTTCAAAGTCCAAATTGAGCTAAAAAACCAACAGTTACTCTATATAAAACAAAAAATATAAAGCAGTAAGGATATGCATTGTAATTAAATGCTAACTTTTATATCAAGTGTCAAGCCAGACAAACAAAAAAATCCTTTTTGCTCCTAAAATTCATCTTTAATTTTAAATTGGATGCCTGTCTTTTTGTCACATAGCACCTTATCACAGTTTTTAAATCAGTCGATTTTGTGTCAAGACCCCACAAAGACATCTATTTCAATACCTGCTTTTTTTGCCAGCTTTCTGGTTTCTAAAAGTCCTTGTAAGGCAGGGTACCTACTGCGAGGGGGCAGTCTTTTGATAAAAAACAAAAGCAACACAAAGACAAACATGTTCACTCACAAGTAAGGACAATAATGAGTGACTGTTAAACCCATATTATTAGCCTATAAAAAGGACTGAAGCATGCATAAGGGAGAACATGACATTTTGACAAAGAAATACAGGAAATATTTATTTGAACTTGAACTTGGTGTAAGAAAACAGGTTAAACAGCAACTTTGCAGCCCATTCCAACTTCATATGTAATTTTCTTTCCATTAGCTGCAAGATGAAAACTCAGATAAATTTGAAAACATCTACCTGAAAATCCCTCCAAAGTGATGGTGAGGAGAAAATATATGAATTTTCATAGTTTAGAAAGCTTTACTTAATTGCTGGTCTTTTTTAAAGCACTACAATGGATTATTTTAATATTTTATTAGAAAAAAAGCATTTTGATCTGTTCTTTGATGCATTTCCAATGCAAGGTTGGAATACGGGACAACAGGTCCAAAAAGCTCTAACTATCTGTCTTCCTACCAGAACACTCCCTTTCTTTCTAGGGAATTCCAATGCTTTCCAAGGTCATAACTGAAATTTTGTAGCTCTAGTGGGTTCTAGGTCTGTCCTGAAATCCTCTAACAATAGGTTATGCCACCAAAACCTCATAGGAGGCATAATGATACATTGGGACTTAAAATGACTTCAGTGCAGAGGAGTAACATTTCTACTTTGACTTCCCCCAGCATGACAAGGCCCCTCACTCTATCTCTATGATTAAGCCTAACCAGCCTCAAGGGTGTAACTATGTAATAAAAGTTGGTTGGGATGCTCTAAGGGTGGTGGCTGATGGACCTACGTACAGTAACTCGACCCAAGCGCTTTCATTAGGTTTTTATATTTTCCAAAAATTAGCTCAAATTTATATTTATTGAATGCCTTCCTATTGTTAACAATGCAAGAGAACCATAATACACTGATATTTATATTTGTAGATGCTAGAGAGATACCTTTTAGTCCATTACATATATAGGGCCCAAAAACATTAATGAATAAAAAATAACAGCCGATTCCGATGCCAAAATCAATATATCATGCATCCCTAGATGTACAATTTCAATTTCATCCATCCATCCATCCATCCATCCATCCATCCATCCATCCATCCATCCATCCATCCATCCATCCATCCATCCATCCATCCATCCAGAAAAATATATTTATGCTGTATTTTAAACATAGCATAGCATATTTTTTCTTGTAAACTTTCTGGTAAACTTGGAGATATATTTTATTGCATGTTGCATATCCCAAGAAATCTGTTTCACTTTTAAATCTGCACCTCTCCCTACCTCTCTCTGTGCTCTGTTTAAAAACATTTATGAACCTCTTTACTAACATAAAGATGCCAGAATCTAAATTTCAAGATATGTAGAAACTCTGCGGCCTGATTCTGTCTATACAATAAGAAAACGTGTGTTAATTTTAACCTGTAACTGGGAGTCATGGTCCTCTGAGAAGCCAAGCTTTTTTCCCCATTAAAGAACATTTAAACTATGTTTTCTCAAGATTCTTGCTTTATAATACTAACTTGTATAAACTTACCCTCTGTTGCCAATTTTAGCTGAAAAAGCTCTGTATGTCTAATGAACAGATATTTCGGTGGCATGATCTCTAATTTTTTAACCTACCCATCTCCTAACTTTTACCTAAACATTGAAGTAGTTGCTGGTTAATATTCAGTGAGTGCTACTGTGCGTCTCTTCTCCAACAACGTCTGTACAAAGTGAAATGAGACTGCACTGAGTTAGCTGCACCCAACCTCAGTTGCGGTCAGTTAAAGTAAATGAGCGGAAAGGGGGGGGGGGAAGCGGAAATTATTGGTGGGGGCATGTCCACACCAGTCCTTCAGAAAGTTATGCCTGTGCCCAGCATTATTGAGGACTTATTTTCAGCAGAACCTTTTGGTTAATACCCAATAATTCATGTCTGTAGGTGAAAGTCAGAATACAGATGAACTAGGAAGCCAAGAGCTTCCCAGTTCACAGCTTTAAAACTTCCCAGTACTCTGTAGACATGAATCAGTCTGTTTTTGTCATGCTCCATCATCACTCTTAACGAGGATGCAAAGATGCTTCAACTCCTCCACTTGCATCAGAGACTGACCTTAACCTGCAGGGAGCAATTTGTCGATGAACATAGTATAAATCTGTTGTTTTTACTCCCTTGAAAACAATGGATTAATACCATGTCTTAATGATCATGTGTCTTTCTATATTATCTTTATTCCTTCTTAAAAATGAATCTGAAAACTATCTACTCTTCCAAATGTCTACTCAGGATGTCTATTTGGTATGCATCAGAAACCAACATGACAATTATTCTTTAAATAAAGCCTAAATAGTGTCTGTCTATCTCAGTTGCCTAATCCCAGTCTATTTTAATGAATTTGAATTAGGAGTTGCATTGTCAGTGACAGCTATTATATTGAACCAGAAGCATTCATTAAAATGAACGAGTTTAGCTTATACATTTGACAAGTCCTCACAACGTTTATTGAGTATCTGTCCCCTTACAATGCTGTGCCACAATAGTGTCACAATGCATATAGGCTTTTTTTATCCAGTGTGAATTGATTAACATAAGCTTTTATATCGCTTCAAAAATCTAAACTCACACATTGTGCTTGACTGAAATAATACAATATGCTGTCGTGGTTAAAAATCCAGCGAGAAGTTTATAATGCTGATCCACAGTGTAAACTGTCCTGCACATAACTAAATGGAAATACATGAACCTGTTATATACTCAGAATTGAAGTGCTCTTTGGATGTAGAGAAGCTTTTTGTCGGAATTAAAAAGGATCTCTTCAAATTATTCCAGAAAACTGATATAAAGGTTAAAAATCAAGGGCTTCAAAAGAACTGGCTGCCTCATTAGTAAGATAGAGCCATTGAGTGGTGGGGTCTTTTTTCATAAATAACTGAAGAAATATCCCTGTACACCCTTTGTAAACATTTATCAATACATAAAAAAATTGTGCCAATTTCTCGCTGGGGAGAAGCCATAACTGGGCAAACTGCCAGTCCTATTTATTGATGAGGTCAAACCATGATCGGTTCTGTTATGTTGGCATGGCAAACATCCTCTGCTGACAGATCATACAACCACTTAGACAAATGTAAAGTCACACAGTTCAAGTGGAGACAAATTGAATGAGTGAGAAAATGCATAATAACAAGAATTATTAAAGCGATGTAGGAGGGAGCATTTGATCTCATACAGCAAGTATGAAAAAGGAAGAGAGCAGGAGATTTTCTGTAAACAGGCAGTTTTATAATTTGGCATTTAGACTCAATTTCAGTTCTTCACTCTTTCTGCCTGTGTATTTTTCTCTTCTGCTGAAATGTCATATTAACATATTTCTAAATGATAGCCTTGAAAATTGTGATAATGTGTCATTAACCCTCAAGCCGAACTCAGCGGATATATTCTACATGCTGTTAGAATTAATTTTATATCCATAAACAACTCATTATATAGGCAGGTTAATGTCGGAATAATGGATAATCAGGAGTTTTTACATACTAGAAGTAGGCGACAAGGACTTATTATTTTATTAGGGTATTTTTTAGCATTTATTTTGTTAACACTAAAGTTAAAATGCACATAAATGTTTACATTTTCTCCACATAGCAACTTTTAGTAGGTGATTTTCCCTCCAATAACTTTAGGATGAAAATTCAGATACATTTTTAAAGTTCTGCCATAAAAAAAAGGCCCAAAGAGTCAGTGAGGAGGAAATATTGGCATAAAATAAAAAAAAAATTACATAGTTTTAAAAGCTTTTGTGATCTTTGTATTTTTTCATGCACCATTCTGGATGGCTCTAAATGGTTAATGCAACCTCATTTAGATAACTGTATGGTACAGCAGATTCATTTATTTATATTTTGTTTGTTTTAGATATGTTGATTTTTATGTATGCTCTTAGTAAACAAACAATTGAGAAATAATAAAAGAGGAAAATGAAATAAAAAAAGAACAATACTGACAATTCGGTCGGTTTTGGGGGTTTCAGACATCTTTAGAAGAAATGTTTTTCAGACACCATGAATCAATACTCCTATCATGACATTAACTGTTTTAGAATAACAACATTGCACGAACCAAATCAATGTAGTGTTTATTTTATCATACTGCTCGAAACCCAATAGTAGAAATTCAGAAATATTCATTGGTATGGTTGTACAGCCATGCATTGATGTTTAATTTAAATGTTTGTTTGTTTTTTGTTGGAAGAGAGAGTGATTTAATTCCCTAAGCAACAACAAAACAAAAACAAACTCATTTTACTTATTGGGGAATAGACAAAAGAATTGTTAATCTTTTTGACAAAAATAACTTTTGAAATTTCATAGCCATCTATCCTTCTCTTTGTTTCTTCCACTCCTTGCTTTCCAGTGCAGTCCAGTTCTGCTTAAGGTTTGTTTTTTTATATAGATGAAATCAAGTTTTCTTCAAACACTCTTTGATACACTATAAAAACCATGATGGATTTATACCATGGTGAGCTAGCCACATAAGCATTGCAAATAAAAATCCCCAAACGTTAACTTAATTAGAGTCTTGTCCATTAAATGTCAAAATGTCTTGATATCTGGCAAATTTTATTCTGGCTGTCACCGTTTTCTTGCATAGGTAAATATTTCCTCTCTGCACACCTCATATTAAATTGGAACCTACCCAGTATTTCTTTATTTTTATCTATTTATTTTTTTAATAAAATCATGAATTTCCACATCAAAAGTAGCAAAACCCTTCTCTAGGTCCTATGATGACATTCAAGGGTTTTTAGAGACTTCTTTAAGTACCTAAAAATCTTTGCTCAGGGCAACATTGAATAAGAATATGTGAAGATGTTGGACTTCATTTTGAATTGTCTCTACTTATAGACTATTTTGCAATTGACTGATCTAATGTTTTTGAGATCTATTTAAATCCCGTATACATAGGCTGCTACAATCTTCTTTCTGGAGGCCTAAGACCTGCGGTCTTTTTCTTTCTTAGACAATGAGTTTGACCTTTGAGCAAGACTTGTAATAATGATGTTATGCTTAGGTTTTAGTGAAACATTTATTTAAAAGCTACCAAAGTTAAATAGCTTAATACATTTAATCCCTCTGTTCAGTGTCTCAGTGATATTATTGATAGTCATCTAAGCTATTTTAGGAATTATCAGTTAGTTTTTGAGTAATCTCCTGAGGAAATATTTAGGATATTCCCCCACTGTGTCCCATAATTCCTGCACCAACTAGGTGTTAAAAACCTCAAGGTTATGATAAAAGTGAGAACAAAAAAAAAGGATCATTACTGCATGAGTGCTATTGCTAACAGGAAAGAAGTTTCTGTGCCTGTGTACTCAGATAAAAAGGGAAAAAAAACAAAGCAGTAGTTTAACAATCAACGTAAACTCGCAATATAATCTGTTTATTCTGAGGTTAGAAGCAAAAACCTTTTTAAGATGGACGACACCAACTTTAGGAAGAAAGGCTCTTTATCTTGTTGAGACGGGATGGCTACAGGCACCCATTAAATGTAATCATGGTGGCATGGCAGCAAATAATTGGAACACAGAATGTGTGAACATTTCAGCAGCAGCTCAAAGTGGGGAAAACCCATTCATCAAAATGCAAAGTGAAAGTCTTGCTAATATCTGTTTAACTTTCTGCAGGGGTGTGAATTTACTAGAACAATCACATTAAAGAGAATGTTTCTACATTTCTAATGATGCAAGTTTACTCCTAATCTTAAACATTTGATATCAATCTTAAAGGTGGGATCCATTATAAAATCTTTAATGAGTTAAGTTGTCTGCCTCTTACCGGTTATTTCTTTTTTTTGTTTTCTAAAGGGAGTTTGATTCTTGTTTAAAACATAGATGGATGTACAATACACACAAGTTAAAAGCAATAAAAGTAATGCTTCATGATAATGAATTTGTTACCCTGTAAACATTCTTAGACGTACTGTATGCTCTTAGAGCCTATTGGAGTTTGATATTGATAAAGTGAAATGCGAACAGTATTTTTCAGTTATTCACAGACAATAAACGTTTATATATCGTATTTTCAACTAATATTTATATTTGTCATGTTAATTCCAGCATAATTATTGCCAGTAGGGTATCAAACACTGCTTACATTCACAGAGATGATTTTTGCATTGTTATTGCAATGAATTATCTTGATTAATTAACTTTTCAAAAGTCTTCAAAGTTGGAAAAACATCCTGCTCTCTTCCTAATCATTAGATTTTCAAACTCTGGCTGGACTGCTTCTGAAGGTTGTTATTACTTACAGTCAGAGAAGACACTGTAGTAAAATTAAATACTAGATTTAACCTAATCTTGGTTGTAACAATGCATGTTGTACCACATTTTGTATTTTGCATAAAAGCAGAAAAATCCCATCTCAGTGCCATCGGTTAAAGCACATTTCTCACATGTTTGCTTCATTGATTGGGGCTTGCTACTTATGGAATTTTCTTCAACTTTAACTTTCTACTTTCCACTCTGTAAAGCTAAATTTGTCAAGTACATGGCTTAGAGTCATATTTAGATAGATTAAATTTGTTCCTTATTCTTTCCATTTTTATGAGATATTGTATCACATAGTACTGTTTGTAATTCAACTTTTTTTAACCTCTCAACAATGTTATCCCTTATCTTAATGATGATCCACGACCTGTTGGTGAATTCTGCAGACTTATACAATCGGTTTAATTTAGAGGTATAGATGGAACTGAATGCAAATTAATGGCACTTTTATATTTCTGTTTGTGTAAAAATAATAGATTATTTACATATCACTTCACAAGTATGTGCTAATTTCTTTTGGCTTGTTATATTAAGTCTATGGTAATATGTAATTTGATAAACCTTTGAAGAGCTTAGTGTTTTATTTTGCAATGAACTGCACTTTTTTCATAAATCAAATTTCTCTCACCAGACCTGTTTAGCTCTTTAACCTGTAAAACAAATATCACAGACCGACATAAATAGGGGAAGGCAAGTGGCTGAGTCACCAGATATCAGAGAGGTATGTGAAATTAAGAGAAAGATGGATCAAGTCACTAACTGTTATGAGAGGTGACTGTTTCTATTCCAGTGTCTCCTGCTCAGTGCATCACAGGGTGATATCCAGCACATTCCTCTATCAGCACAGCGGCAGTCATCCCAAAGGACAGCTGAGAGATTGACTTCATTGCATGAATGCGCTTCCCTCATTCAGGCATCCTTTTCACACTTTTCTTGCACATTGTTTAGGGGAAAATGGAATCTTGGCACGCAATAAAGGGTGCAATTTTAATACTAAACAAACCGCTTTGTCTTTGGTATTGACTGCTTTGTTCATGCTGTATTGTACAGGCACAGGCCTCTGCCTTGTATCAGAGCGGCCAGAGTAATTCATCACAGCATGCATTTTATAATATATATTTATCTTCTGTGCTTCAGAATGTTATTACATTTACTCCGAGTAATATGGGTCTGGACAGGAAGGAGAAGCAACAAAAACCTGAATGAATGCACTGAAATGGGATTTGAGTCCACGCTGTAATAATACAGGACATTTTCACTACGACTCAATAACTGAGGTGCCACAGTCATCATGTTTTCATGAAAGAAGTGGGATGTCTCTAAAAGAAACATTTAATTCACACTTTTCCTTCTGAAGAGCATCACTTGCTGTAGGAAGATATATAAATCTTAAATTGAAAAGAAGAAGAAAATCTTTGCTTACAAAAACGAGTTTTTCAACATCAAGTTTTAATTTTAAAAGTAGAATATAACCTGAAAATAAAATTAACCAATTATTCAGGTAACTTAGCTTAGACAGTTTTTAATATACGGTATAAGTCCTATCCTTTGTAAACATGCTGTTCTATTTTTAATACTTATTCAAATATCTTCTAAATTTACCAAAAACAATTAGATAAACGTAGCCTTTATCCACACTTTAAAATGTGGAAACTCAATTTCCTGTGAGAAATCTAAGAAGCTCTAAGGGAATGAGCAAAAATAACTGTGAATATTTTTTTACCTCTCTATGGACAGTTTGTATTTACAGTTCCCTTTCTCAATGGCTTTTTGTTTACCTGTGTTTCTGAACAGGTGACCTGGTGTCCAGAGCCATGCATTTCCTTCAGCCACTGTACACGAAGAATCACAGCAATGGGACGCCACTCCACCACAAAAGCTGCATGATTCACTGGTCGCCTGAAGCGATGTACACACTGTGCTACTTTATGCACTGTCCTCACATGGAGTGGGAAAACCCCAACGTTGAGCCCTCCAAGGTTACCTTACAAACAGAAAGGTGAGACCCAATCTGGATTAAATGCTGGTTTTCCTTTGAAAACTGAAAGAAAAGTTACAGTATATGGCAAGAGAAAAATCAAAAATAGACTGGAGGCATTTGTTATTCCGCTAACTGCCTCAAATCAAAATAGACATTTACAGCTTTGGCAGTCACTGTACTGTAGGTCTGACACTGTGTTCAACTCCATTACATTTAAAGGTCAAATGATGCATGACCTTATAAATATGCTGACTGCTATTAGACTCATTAGATGGAACCAAGGGTAGCAGTGATCATACCAATTTATTCAGGGGTCACTTTTAGTTTGTGTCTTGGGTTTGAGACACTAAAAAAGAATTGACACCCTTAAAAACTTTGAATATATTTGATCAAGCCTTGAAGGATAATTTTACAAAACGTACATTATTGAAACCATGTGTGATAGAAACATATATGGCAAGCTTCCAGGTAAGGTTATGGCTTGCCACATTTATTCATTTTTTTATTTGTGGCATCAGAGGCTTTGTGAAGATATTATTTCTAAACACTATTTGAATTACAAAAGGCTATTAAAATTACTGTTCTTCCACAGGGTTTCTGACTGTTAAATGGAAGCAAATCTGCTTTTTTTTTTATTTCTATCATTATCTAAAATACTATGTACAGATACTATAATTATTAATACTAGCCTTGATTGATTTACTTTCAGGCTGTAAATCACGGCAATAAGAACTGCTTAATAGGCACTCAGAAACAAAACAAAAAAAGCTGCCAAAAAATGTAATTTTAATACCGAAAAAATCCTTAAAAGCAGTATCACAGAAGAGGACTAAAAAACTGTGTCTGGCTTTCATTTGTTCTTTGTACTCTTTTATATTGCCATCCTTTTTGAGGAAGTCAAAGATATTGCCTTTTTACTGTTCTCTGGGTCAGAAATAAAGAAACCATTTATGAAAACTGTAACGATGGGCAGATATTTTCGACAGCTGTCCACAATTTGGTCTCTTTTTTCTTTTTTCCATTCCTGCTCCAGCTTACCGGCACAGCTCCATCAGGACTGGGAGGATCATTCTGCTGCAATTGTACATCTCTGCAGACATGTCTTTTTATTGTGTTTCTGGTCCCCTGAGCTGTACTCTAAAATGGCACACCAAGTGTTTTGATCAGTAACTGAGCTTTATATGAGTACACTGTCAATGTGCTGGATATTAAAGTGGGCTTTATGGGATATACTTTGGCTTGTTGAAGAAATTGCTCTTTTGGGAGTCTTTTTTTTATTTTAAATGACATCAGAACTAGATTAGGTTTCCATTGGAATTAATTCACACCTCATCCCTCAAGTGAAAAGTGCACAAGAGTACTTAGATATTTTACAGTTTGAACACATGAAACACATTTTCTGCTGATTTTATGAGGTGTTTTTCTTTTTGTCCCCCCCTTTCCCTTCAGTATTCTGCAGAAAACCCTTTTCAGTTTCCTTCGGTTGAGAATTAGCCTGACATTCTTCTAGGGCTCCAGTTCAGCCTTTTTCATTTGCATTGGACCAGTTTATCAGCTAATGTGGGTCCCAGGTGTCCAGTCTGTGTTGGCTCAGTTTCCCGCCCTTCCAAATATTGAATTTAACACTTTGTTATAGACATACCTAAGCAGAATGTTGGAAAAGAAAACGTTTTAAGAGAAAACAGAGAGCTGCTTGTGCAATGAAGTTTTTAATCAAACTTTTTCATCTTTCCATCAACTGCCGTCAGTGCCGTCAACAAAGTTCCCATTCGTCTTTCCATCTCCCACCTTCACTTCCATCACCCTCCTTCACCATCACATCACCACAAATGGACAAAGCACTAAGATACTTTGACTTCCCCACTCTACGTTTTTGTGTAACTTTCACGTTGTATATTCCTAACCTTCTGTGTTGCTTTAAGAGTGTCTATGAAACCCGTAGTATCATGGCTGTAGCCATATGCATCAAGGTGAGTTCAGGCATTAGTTTTGATGCTATAGGTCTGACCAACCAGGACTCTAAACTTAATTAGTATTATCCTGCTTAGAGTTCCTAGGAGATCTATTTGGTTGGGCAAATAAGATTCGGCTGGTCGGCTGGTCTCCTACCACCTACCATCAGACAAAAGAGAAGTAACATATTAATCATTAAATTCCCAGAAACAAGATCTCTTAAAAACAAATAAAGTAAAAAACTATGATTACAGTAGGTTGTTAATATGTTGAGATGTTTTCATATAAAGAGCTTGAAAAGAAATTGTCCTAAAGCTCTACTGTTAACTTCACATGACTAATTATTAGGTTTAATCTCACCTCCTGCATTTCACTGGGGTTAATGCCATCTCAGGGTGACTTTTTATCTGTGCAGAAGAATTCTATTCTTGCTAGATATACACATTTAATATTAAATATAAGCTGATTCATGGATGCTGTTCCAGTTTTGTATTTATGTATATTAGTTTGTTCTTTTTTGTGTGATAAAACAACAGGGTTAAGCAGGTGTAGAATATCTATATAAAGATTTTTTTAAGTTGATATCCCATCAACAGAGCAAATTAAGCTCAAAAGGGATATTCAGAAATCGAAAGTTTCAATGAGTTTGAACAGAAACTGATATTTGTAGTGTGTTACTTTTTCCTTTGTTGATGGGTTCAATTCAGTCTTTTTGGAATGCACAATTAAGAACATAATGCATAATCCTCTAGTACAGCCAGAGTTTCAGAGGTTGACCTAGAATTGTTTACAAAAAAAAGAAAAAAAAAACTCCTGGTCTTAAGTGCAGATATACTGCATATACTTCATATGTACTGTGTATTTGTTTGCCATTCCATCCATTTTCTGTCACACTTATCCCAAGCGGGGTCGCAAGGGGTGCTAGTGCCAATCTCCAGCTGTCTACAGGCAAGAGGCCAGGTACACCCTGGACAGGTCACCATCGCAGGGCAACACAGAGACAAATAGGACAAACAACCACACCAAAGGAGAATTTAGTGAAGCTCATTAACCTAACAGTCATGTTTTTGGACTGTGGGAGGTAGCCAGAGTACATTGCGGAGGCTCTGGGATTTCCTCAGGGTCGTCTCTCATCTGCTCTGGGGGGTTGGGTCTTTGGCTTCTCACACCACTATTGAGCATCTTTCCTATGGATAAACTTTACATGCACAAGTGCACTCTCACAAACAACTACAGGTGCTTGGTTCCAGGTATTTAGAGTTTCACTTCCTTACAGTAAGCCCATATTTTTATCTTCAGCTACCACAATTTACATGTCAGATTAAATAATACTACATATACTTCAGAGATGATATCAAGGTTTTACTTTATTGTATCTGTTATACTATATCCATTGGTAGTGCTGTTATTTTTACATCTCTCTTTGCAGGTGATGAAGCAGACTGAAGATGTTTTGTCATTGTTATATCATTTCATCTTTTCTCCTTTTTCTTGTTCTTTCTTTCCTGTTCTACTTTCCCATTGCAGTGTCCATATAATCTGAAATACTCCCTGCATGAATTTTAATAAAGCTATTTACATACATAAATCAAGCAGAACACTATGGTAAAAAGCCTTACTCCTCCACTTGTAAAAGTAAAATCTGACATTGCCAGACACTGGACACTGGAAAAAAAAAAAAAAAAAACTGAATAAGCATCTTGCAACAGGGAAATGAGCATTACCATTTATAAAGGGCAACAGTGATCAAGAAGATAGACAGTGTAGGAGAAAAGGAAAACCAGTTAAAAGTCATGGTGCAAAAGGCATTGATACGGAAAGGTTCAGTGCAGTACAACGTAAATATGGTGCAAAATGCTGTACATTGAGTTGTGTTCTAGTTAAAATGATTATAAAAGTTTCAACCACGTTGGTAGTGCAAAATAATGCTGCGAGTGTGATGCATAGTGCAGTTTAGAGTTTAACAGATTAACAGTCTGATGGCAGCGGGGAAAAAGCTGTTGCAGAACCACCTGATCCTGCAGCGAATGTGGCGAAGCCTCTTCCTAGAGGGCAGCATGGAGAACAGTCCATGGTGGGGGTGAAAGGGGTTGCTGATGATGAGATGGGATGAAATGTCCTTAATGGCGGGAAGAGGAGCCCCAATGATCCTCTTAGCTGTCCTTGCCAATCTTCCCACGTTCTTCCAGTCTGAGGCGCTGCAGCATCCATACCACACAGCGAGACAGCTGGTCAGAACGCTCTCTATTGTGCTTCTGTTGATGGTCGTGAGGATGGGCGAGGGCAGAGGGGTCTCCTCATTCTCTGCTAGAAGTACAAGCAGTCTGTGCTCTTTTGACCAGTGAGGTGGTGTTTACAGTCCAGTTAAGGTTATCTCTGATGTACACCCCCAGGAATTTGGTGCTGCTGACTACCTCTACAGCTGAGCTGTTGATGAGCAGTGGAGTGTGGTTAGGCCGGTTCTTCCTGAAGTCGATGATGATCTCCTTCATCTTCTCCACGTCTCCATGTCAGCAAAACAGCATTATTTGTTTTACTATCAAATAAAATTTGCAATGCCAATTTTCTTTTTTGCTCTTAAAATGTTTTGACAAACTAAGACATAACAGATATATAGAATCAGTCAAATAAATACTGCAGCTGTGTTGACAACAGCAGAAGAGCTTACCTACTAAATATACTATTTGACCTGGTATCGATCGTATGATAGCCCCACTTTCTTCAATCTGCCCTACTGCAGCCATGGCTGCTATGTGGTTTACCACAATCAGCCGATGAATATGTATGAGAATGGGCAGGATAACTGATTGTACTGTTTGGAGTATTATGGACTTTCCCTGTCCTTGCCCAAGTGCCACTGCACATTAAAAAATAGGTATATCATGAGAGCCATTCAAAAGAAGGCAGAGGGTCAAGAATAGAAGATATTTAATTTATTCATTGTTTTAGTTACTGTGCTGTATACATTTATAAGAACAAACCTCCAGTGGGTAATGTTGGACATTTCTTATTATAAGTGACATTTACAATGTGTTTAAAAAAAATCATATATATTAAAGAACACTTTATAGCTTCATGGCCTAGCTAGGTTGTTTTATTCTTTTCCTTTCCTTTTTATTGGGATGTTAAATTAAACTCTAATGGTAGAGTCTTCATTCTTGCCCTGTGACAACAAAGGAAGACAGAGAAGTTGTCACAGTTGACTTTGTTGAACAGCCACATATAGGAGCTGTTTATTTAAACCAAACGTTCCTAATGATTTGGAGTAAAGCTGGAGCTCATTTGAGTTTTGGGACCATAGTCTTTTGCCTAATCCGGCCTAGACTGTGGTTTTCGTCTGTACAGCAGTTTGCCTTTAACCTTCTTCCACACTCTCTCATGCTTTCCAGGAAAAGCCCCGGTGACTGGATCAACTGTTTGATGGATTTCTCCTGCCCTTGTCTGAGAGCCAATATACATTTAAGAAAATATCGCTGCTCCTTGGGTTTACCTTCAGCTGGCAGTGGGATCTCATAAATAATGTATGCTGCCATGCAGCAGCTCCACACATCATGTTTGCAAAGAGCACTATAAAACCGATAAGAAGAAATGACATATGACTCATAAAATGTATTATAAATGGTTCTCCATAAATGTTATTGTTTCGAGATTGTATATGGTTGGCATAATAGAAACTCTTGTGTTATACTGCATTGGTACTTAAAAAAATGATGGCAAAAAAAGAAAACTGTCACTATTAATGAATTAAAAGCATAGTAAGCAGATTTGTGATCCTGCATTTTGCTTTTTTTCATTGCAAAAAATGTTTGTTACACGGTAAGATTCCCCTCAGATTTTCTTCATTTCAGTGTGTCTCTGCTTTCTGCAAACATTTCTCAAGCATCCACTGCACTGCACAAAATATCTTATGCAAAATTCTGTGTGAGGCAGATTTTCCAAGTCAGGGTTGAGGTACAAATAGTTCTCTGCCTGACTGAAGTTCAGTGATTCTGTGATGTTCAGAATAAATGTGCTTCTATCTCCTCCTACAGGCCGTTTTTGGTGCTGCCACCACTGATGGAGTGGGTGCGAGTGGCTGTTGTCCATACTGAGCACAGGCGAAGCTTCTCTGTAGACAGCGATGATGTCCGGCAGGCTGCCAGGCTGCTGCTGCCTGGAGTCGACTGTGAGCCACGCCAGCTCCGGTAGGGCTGTGAAATGTTTCCCCTCATTTAGGCTTTAGAGTATGCTTGTAAATCGGCCTCTGTTTTTCCCATTTCTGACACAAATATAATTTGCCATATTTGTAATTTCTCAGAAAAAATCTTCTACATTCACAACAATGTCATCAGTTTTTTTTCAGGCAATATATCACACAAAGAAGACATTACTCCTGCTCTTAAGGTCACACTAATAATCTGTGTGCATGCTTTGCCCTTCAGAACGGATGATTGCTTCTGTGCCTCAAGGAAATTAGATGCTGCCTCTACTGAGGCAAAGTTCCTGCAGGACTTGGGCTTCCGTATGCTCAGCTGTGGACGTACAGACCTGGTAAAGCAGGCCGTCAACCTGCTTGGGCCAGATGGAATCAACAGCATGAATGAGCAGGTTAGAGGCACAGTCAACATATTAAATAATACAGAACCTAGTGGACCTGCACTCAAGTGCACACACACAAACACATGTTGTGTCACACTGTCCTTGTTGGGACTTTCTATTGACTTCTATTCATATTGCATTTATTTCTATGGCATAACCCTAACCATTGCCAACACACACCTAAAACTAAACATATTTCACATTTTAGTCCTAAACCTAACCCCCACCCCAAGGAGGGAAGATCTCCTCATGCAGACCAGTTGTTAGTCCCCACAAGTACCTATAAGTCCCCAAAATGTAGCATATTTCTAGGAAATTGTCCCCACAGGGTAACAGAAACATTGCCACACACACTTAGCCTGTGGAAAGACATGTTTTGTTGGCTTTTAAACTGTGGCTGCTTCACCCTGTGAGCAAAAGGCAGCAGCACATATTAAATCTTTCTCTGGCTTCTTTTTTCCTGCAGCCCTCCTGCCAAGCCACTCTACATTATATCATGACTACTGACCTCCTGAACAGTAAATCATCTGGGTATTACTTCAAGTGAAACTCAGGAGTTTCCATGAGAAAATAAAACATACAACCCTATGGTCTTAGTGGAAACTTTTAAAAACAAGACTCTTAAGCTCATTAATTCTCTGGGATTTCCCACCAACTATAGGTGACCCTGAGGAAATATTGATGCCTGCAGTATTGAGTGAAGGTTAAGAAACAAAATCCATAACAGTATCTGCACAAAAACTATAAGCCTGGGGGGGTTAAGGATGCAGTTTAGACCAGATCAGAATGTGAATTTCTGCTGTTTTTTTTTTGTTTTTTTTGTAAAGAGTCATCTATTGTTATTTACATGACTTCCTAATCTGGAGACATACCAGAAAGATGAAATATTTATAAATAGAACTCATGTCTCATATTGTTTTCTGTGCTTGTGAAGGGGATGACCCCGCTGATGTATGCATGTGTCCGTGGAGATGAGGCCATGGTGCAAATGCTGCTTGATGCAGGAGCAGACATTAATAGTGAGGTGAGTGCTTACAAGTAGCATCCCATTTAATTGTGATTCAAGAAGTGTAAGTCAGCACTTTAAGAATACTCAAATACTGATAAGGGATGTCCCTGTTAGAATGTTTTTGTTCCAATTCAAGTCGTTTGGGATGTTTTATTAAACCTTTGTTATTTTTATGCTTTATATCTCAGTAGATATAACTTGCAGTAAAAAGATAACCCTATGTTTAATCAGCATTACATCCTCTACAGTATCATTTTGAATGTATCCCCCTATCTTACTCTCAAATGATGCCCGAGATGCTATGGCATTCATTTTTCTTGACAGCAACAGATTCCGATGCCTGTAAGTAATTCTACTTACAGGCATTCTACTTACACAGTAATTCTACTTAATTCTACTTCTACTTATTACTAAAAAGATTTATTCAGTTCAGTTATTCTCAGTCATGTGTTTATTCCTGATGATTTAATGATTATGGCTTGCAGCTAATGAAAGTTTAGCTCCTCATAATGTTTGAATTAAAAACTAACCAAGACTTGGATTTTTAAAATGCTTATTTTGATTTGCGGGCATGTAACTGCCTAGGCAACCACGGAAGACTACTTTGCACCCTCAAAAAAATAGATTACAGAGAAAAAAATTTTTTTCTTTTCTTTTGAAAAGTTTTTTTTTTTTTCCACTAAGGGTTGTTTTTTGTTCAAGTTTGAGTTGATGGAGTAAAATTTTGACTCAATATGACTATTGATAAACAATTACTTGAATCTTAATCATATTTTATTCAGTTTCATTAAATTGTAATCACACCAATTTCTTCTGTTAGCCATGAAAGGTAACAGGTAAAGAATTGACAGTTCATAAAGTGCTGTGTGCAAACATATTAACTGAAGGTTAAGTGGAAGAAAAGATTATCAAAAAAAAGATGGGGATAACACATAATTTAAAGTAAAGTAAGATAGTTAAAGTAAGTTAAACTGCATGAATTGCAAATAGCTTAAAGTGAGTGGTACTTAAACTCTTCTTCTGTTGATGGTCTGATTATTGGCTAACTTTAGTTTTTAAATGACTTACCGAAGATTTGACGTGCAATTATTTTCAGTTTGGTACAAGTTAATCATGTGTGAAAAAAACAATGCTTATTAGTGTGAAATCACACTAACAGGCAGGGCGCTGCAACATCTTTATGAAAGGCAAAAACGCTGTTTGATTGTCAGGGAAAGCTCAGATTAAAGTAATCAGCATAATAATATAATGGTAGATATGACAATGTCAAGGAAATAATGAGAGAGTTTTTTTTAAAGTTGATAATTAAGAAAATTAGATGATTTATGACTCCTAATGATATCACTAATCAGCATAAAATGTGTGGCATAAATTTGGAGAAAACAATATACATTCGCTCATCCTCTCCTGTTCTCTCCTGTTGTCTTGTTATCAAAGGTGGGAATCATGAGGTCACCCAAACTGTCAATATGACAACACATGCATTTAGAGTCAGAACTGTGGCTCAAAGGCTTGCTGCTGAGTCATGCTTTGTCTCTGTCAGGGCATGAAAGGATCATTTTTGCTGAAAAAAAAAAAATACATTTGTCATGGTGTGTAGAGATTCTAGATTCTTGGACGGATTCATCCAGTTATTGCCTCATGATCCTGATCTTTACAGCATTTTTACATCCCATTAAGCATTCTGCCAGATCTGCTTTTCAGTCCATTGCATTTAAAACAAGTTTCAGATTTGCTTCACGCTTTCATATTTACCACTAACAGCAGCTCATGGATATTATGATTTAATCGCAGTTTATTTACTTGACTATTCTATATTTTTATAGGACATAATTCAAGTAGTGATACTGGGGAAACTAAGTGCTAAATTGAATAACAACATATCAGTGCTTAGATTCTCTACTGTGATCGCCAAATGTACAAATAAGTACAAACATTCAATACAGACAAAAATCAGATATTTAAAGACCTAAAATGACATTAAAATGCCTACTGTGCCCATTCTCTTGACTGCCCGAGTTGTGCTGTCCCACATACGTTTTTGTGTTGTTGTTAATATTCCAATGGACAGTTCTGGTGTGGATAATATGGTTTCATTGAATCAGTACAGCTCACTGAATAGAATGGCAACTGCAGCATTTTTTTTTATTATCAATTATTAAAGAATTGCATTGATTTTCTGAGGTTGTAAAAAAGTACATGGTTGTTTGTTTTTTTTTTTGTATGAACACATTGCACTTCAGCCTGTGCTTCTCCTAATATATGTTTATATTTTGTATGTGTTAGCGTGAGTAGAGTTATAATAAAATCAAATTAAAATCCAATCCATTTGGATCCTTGTGGGTCTAAAAACAGAGCTGGAATAGCATCTGGCAAACAAACAATCTCCATCTGATCCTACTGTAGGACTCTCTGTCACAGCCTGATGCCAGACACCAGATCCATATTTTGATAAGTCGGAGTTCTGGTGCCTTAAATATTGTCACAAAATTGAAGTTGGATTGTTAAATGTTACGGATGATTACTTTATGGAAAGACGAAACAAATATAGTGATCAGAAGAGGGTAACTTACAGAAGTAATTTGTTGACTTACAGATTACTGATTTGGGGCAGTAGGCCTACATCAAATGTACAGAATATTTTGTATGTTACTAGTTAAGCTTAAAATGGTAGCGATAGTAAAAAAGTATTTTGGAAAAAATTAGATAGACGTTACTTTTTTTTTTCTCCCAAATACAAGCCAAGTTTGTTTTCAACTCTGAGTATTTGGTGTTTATTGTGGTTGAAAGAGAAATTAATGAAGGAGTAATTAAAAAGAAATCAAAGGTTCCTGATCTAATTTTTTTTTTTTTTTTATGGGCTGTTGTTAATTATAGAAATCCTTGCTTATGTTTTCATTTTCCTGCTGTATTCAGAATGCAAAAAAGTAAAACCACAGTCTTAGGTAATGTTTATAATACTTGACTACACAACTGGCTTTATCTATAACTTGCCACTTATTTATGTATTTATCTGTTGTCTCATCATTTACTGACTTTTACCCATATTTATTTCACCTTAATTCCTTTTATCATCTTACTTAAACAGTTTGACAAAATGTATCTCTTTGTATTGTGTTCATTGGTAACCCCTTTGAAGGTGTGAACAAAAGGCTAACATTGAACTAATTTTTTGTAAAAATAAAAAGTTTCAGTTACTCTCATTCCTAGATTCTCAAGATGTAGAAAAAATATGTATTTACATTAAAATTCTGTGTCAAAACCTTTATAGAAAACTACAGTTTTGCTTTTCCTTTAAAACAAAAATAATATTTATTATCCTGTGCAGAAAATAACTTAGCAGTGGTGATAATTATTTTAATATTCACCTTATATTAATATTACTTTTTTTTATTCCCCTAAATTATCTAGAGATGCAGTTTAATAAGTGCAATTGTCTTCTCTGCAGACAAAATTATTGTTCAACCCTTCGGTTTAAATTTGCTTTTTTTTCCCATGCAAGTAATTTATAGGTGAGTGTTACAAAGCTGTAGAAGTGACAAAAGGATTCTGGAAATAATGTATCAAAGGAAAAGCAAAAAGAACAACAATAGAGCCACTATTGTGGTTTAAATTAAAGGATTGTGTCATATAGCCTGAACTGTACCATGTTCAATGCTGACCTACAGGCTGAGCTAGCATAAACATGTATTACGATTTTTTTTCTTCTTCAAGTAAAAACTTATTTGGGTTTTCTCATATTTTCCAAGTCATTTTGTCAATGTTCTAATTAATTTAATTACTTTTTAACAATGTTTACTAATCAATGTGGAGGGAACTTTATTTACATATATTTCATTAGGTCAACCTTTCTAAAGAAATTAACTTAGAGTCCACAAACTAAGAGCAAGTCAGAGTGAAGCCATTAAAAAAAAGACCATTGACACAGATCAATCCATTGTGTTCATTAGAAAGTAAACATGGAGGGCAGGATGTCCTCTGCAGCCCCAGGGTTTCTACTTAATCGCTCATGTTTCTCCTGTTGTTTCCTATCCTGCCTCTATCCTCTCCTCCCTGTGGCTGCTTGTTTGGTGCTCTGTTCTCCATGAAGTAGTTTTAATGGCTTGGTATTTCTCTCCCCCAACCCCACCCACCCCTTAACCCTTTCTGCCTGTCCATCCAACCCTCCTGTGTCCCTTCCCCAGGTGCCAAACACATTGCACAAGCACCCCTCAGTCTTTCCCGAAACGCGGCAGGCGACAACTCTCACATTCGCTGTGTTACACGGACATGTGCCTGTGGTGCAGGTAGTGACACATTCACCTGTGTCTCTTTCATCATTATCCTTTTGTTTTGCTTCAGCTCCTGGTCGGTCATTACTGTCATTTTCTACCATCAAATCATCTAAAATCATCTAAAATATTTCTCCTGTTTTGTCCTTATTTTTAAACAAAATATTCAGGAACTATTTCTTTTTTATTTATAACTAAAAGCCTATTGTATTTAAAAAAAAAAAAAAAAAGGCATTTACATAGTCACTCCAATCCAGAACGTTCCTCTGCCAGTTTTGAATTTACTCAAATGGTTTCGGGCCACATTTAGGAAATGGAAAGTGGAAACTCAGCAGCCTAATTAGTATTGAACTCATTTAACTAATTCACTTTGCCTTAAGTAGAATGTCATTTAGATTAAAGCATTATTAAAGAGTAATGGAAATTATTCCAAGCATGTGTAATTTGGCATTGGAGTGCATCAAATACAGGAAACAATCAAATTTAAAAGGTTATTTCTAAGTAAATTTCTAAAGTGTAATTTGGTTGCAGTTTTGTAAAACGTATTGTAAATATATTATATTTTCCAATAATACATTCATATTTTCCTTGTTAACTGAAACTCTCTGTTCCAACACAGAAATACATTACTATCTGTTAATGTCAAACGTTATTTAGCCTATATAATAAAAGATGAATAAATGTTCAACGTGCATTTGTTGTCAACTCCTTTTTCCTCATAAAACCACAAATCAAAAGCTGCACAACTGGCTGCCTTAAAGGGTTGCTTGAATAATTTAAAAAAGTTGCTTGATTAATAAACAGTCTGCTTGCATGCTATTTAATCGCTAAATAACTGGAGCTGTTCTGTGAAGGTGTCTTTTTTTTTTTTTTAAGAGAAATTGCAGCTGCAGTATTAAAACACCAAGGTTGATTTACATTGGCCCTAAAAGAGCTGCAGAAATCCATTGCTCAGGTGGCCATTTTCTCTTACATGACAACTGTTTTTTGTGTATCAACAAAATTAATCTTTTAGGAAATGACATGGTAGTAGATATGGATTCCCACAGGGTATGTTGAAGACACAGAAAACTGTTCTTCATTCACTTAGCAAATCTATTCTCTGGGGATGGTGAAAAGAAAAATACCTAAAGCCTGATTGACGATTTGAATGCAGCAAAGATGTATAAGATTGTCCAATTATCTTCGATTGAAATCTTTTTGGGCTAAATGCAAAATTGTGTTCTTGTGGAAAAAATAATGCAAGAAATCTGCCTGAACTCACCATTTTCACTGTGAAACAGTATGGTGATGGCAGTATCATGCTGGGGATTTTTTTTTATCTTGCTGTCCAAGCCTTATGGGAAGATGGAAGGAGCTAAACAGAAATTAACCTGTCAGAGGCTGCTTTAAGACAAGAGACTTGATGTACACCATCTATCAAAACTGCACCTTGAATTGTTAAGAACAAAGCATCCATTATTTGCCTAGTCAAACTCCAAACCTTGAATTTAATTTAGAATCTTGACTTGGCATTTGAATTAAGGCAAGGTAGGTTTATTTATACAGCACAATTCAACGGCAAGACAATAAATAGTACATGAAAAGAAAAAAAAGGCACATTGCATTGGCATAAAGGCAACATAATACAAATATAAAAATAGAATAAAATAGAATAATTTGAATAAGACTTTATATTAAAAAAGATAAAATGATTGAGGAAAAACAAATTAAAGGAAAGTTGGCTTAAAACTTAATAAATATTCTTCTTTTGATAGTACGGTCAAAGGCCACTTGAAATACAATTTTTTCTTTTTGATATTGCATGCTGGTGAGTCATTCAGCTCATAGTCAGTCCAAAAAAGCTAAAAATGTAAAATAAACAAACACTTGACTTTGTTTTTGCAACTTTGAAGAAGTTTCACTTCCCACCCAGGAAGTTTTCTCAATTCAAAATGTCTGGAACTCAACGCTAATCCAGACATTTTGAATTAAGAAAGCTTCCTGAATGGGAAGTGAATCATTTTCAAACTTGGAAAACAAAGTCCATTGGTTTGTTTTTTAACTTTTTTTATTATGCAGTTTTCTATTAATTTATTCCAGATCAGTGGAGCATAGGAACCTAAAAGATTCTTCTACATGCTTGGTTCTACTACTGGGTGTGCAAAGTAGATTTGAGCCAGAACAACTGATCTGATTTAAGCAGATGCTGTCCAAAAGGGCTTTAGCTATTTTGCCAATAAAAGTTAGCAAACACTTCAGTCATCACATTAGTTAAGCTGGTAAAGACATACTCCCAAAAGCAATACATACTTTTGATTTATTGATTGTGAAATGTATCCAAAACCCATATACCTTTATTCTTTCAGTTTACAGGCGTGTACTACTTTGAGTTGGTCTGCCTTGTAAAAACCTGATAAAATACATTTTATTTTTCGGGTATAAAAAAACAACCTATGAAACTGTACTTATCTATGATCCCTGTCTTCTCAGTTTGCTCTCCTACCATACTTGTGTTTATCCATCTGCAGCTACTGCTGGATGCCAAAGCTAATGTGGAGGGTTCCCTGCAGGATGGGATGGAGAACTATACAGAGACCCCGCTGCAGCTGGCAGCCGCTGCAGGTACAGACACACAGCGGCAATCTCAGACTTCTCTCTAGATGTACTGCTTCACACTGATAACAGCGTGAGGCTTTCTATATGTAGCCCAACACAACACCTGATTGTCAGTGTGGTCACTGGCTATGATCCCAGTGAGAATGAATTTGATAGAGGGGCAGAAAAAAAAACAAAATTGCTTTCATAAAGTGTGTCTGGTAGCTTGATCAGTGTTTTTTCCTTTGCAGGTAACTTTGAGCTGGTGAGTTTGCTGCTGGAGCGGGGTGCCGATCCCATGGTGGGAACCATGTACCGTAACGGGATTTCCACTGCCCCACAAGGAGACATGAACTCCTACAGCCTTGCTGCTGCTCATGGACACAGGTAGCCAACAGATATATTAATGCTCAGTCAGCAGACATACATTAAACGCAGATTAGCTCACACATTCATACTCTATTCAAAATGTATACATCTTACCCCAAAACTAAAGCACTACATTTCTTAACTGATTTGATTTTTGTTTCATTTTTTTTTATTTTATTTTATTTTTTTATATATATACATGAACTCAACCTTAATTTTGTTGTCAGTCTTCAATTTTGGTTTTATTTTTGCAAAAAAAGTATTTCCACCTAATTAAAATATAAAATTATAAAATGTAATGATAGGCCTACCTCTATGTGCTATATCTTCACTGAACTATAGTTCTTTTTTTTTGTACCAATGTCTACATTTGATCACTGCTGCACTTTATGAAATGGAAATATTAATTTCACTGTTAAGCTGCTGCTCATTTACTCTCTGAAAGCTGTACAAAACAAAATTTCGTTTTGTTTTCACTCTGTGTATACAAAATGACAATAAAAGTTGTCCAAGTCTATTTTCCATTACGGCAGTGTTGTTTTTGACAGCCATCTTGATTTGAGCATTTAGGACGAAAACTATTAGTCTTAGTTCAATTTAAGTCATTACTATAAGTGATTTTTTTTGGTCCTGTTTGAGTTGATTAAAACTCAAAAAGGAGGAATATTCAGAGGAATAATGAGAGTATTTCCATAATTTATGTATGCCAAGCATTTGTTAATCTCACAAACCTACAGTTTACCTGCTTATGCTGTCATCCACATGTATGTATTCTATTTTTTGGAATAAAAACATATTTCATGCGTCAGTTATATATTTTTTGCATCAAATTGTTGTTTCATTTCAGTTAAAAATCTAAGGTTTAGATTATTAGATCTCAGCAAGTGGAAGTAAGCCTATTTCTAAATGAGGGATGCTTAAATGCAATTTAAGTTCTGCAATTCTTTTTAGTATGTAAGCCTTAAGTGCAGGCTGTCAAATCATGTGGTGTTATAGTCATTTTCAAAACTACCCAACCATCTCAAGAATCCATAAAAATAAAATATTTATTAAAATAAATGACATAGATCCAAAATCTATCCATCCTTTTTCTGATTAATATTATAATAATTCTTCCTTGATAAAACAGTTTTTGAGGTTTTATGATGTGTACAATATGCTTTCTCTTTTTGTGTTTTGTGGCTTACAGAAACGTGTTTCGAAGGTTGTTATCTCATTCGGATAAAGGAAAAGGTGATGTTTTGTCATTGGAAGAGATTCTGGCTGAAGGTTCAGAACTAGAAAGTAGAAGTTCATCTCAGGTTGATCTAATCAGAAGTGGGAAGGCCAAACTTAAAGCTCTCAAAGAAGCTATGTACCACAGTGCCGAACATGGACACGTTGACATCACCATAGATATTCGAAGCCTTGGTGGGTTTTCATTTCGTATGTTTTTTTTTTTTGTTTGTTTGTTTTTTTTTGTATAATCTACCACATATATGTCATCTATGTGCAGAAACCTTCCTCATATCCTTCATGTTTTTCTTATCTGCTTCTCAGGGGTCCCGTGGACACTACATACTTGGCTTGAGTCTCTGCGTACATGTTTTCAGCAGCACCGCCGACCTTTGATCCAAGGTCTTCTGAAAGAATTCAGCTGCATTGAGGAAGAGGAGTACACCGAGGAACTCATCACACATGGCCTTCCTCTGATGTTTCAAATCCTTAGGGCCAGCAAGGTACTTCAGAAGTTGCTGACTTTCAGATTTCTCTTAGGTTTCAGTTATTCAATGGCATTCAAAATGTTTTTGTATTTTTATTTCTGTATAAATATCATTATTTTTCCTTCAACATAGTTTCTCTATAATATACTTTTTTATTTAAATATATTTGCTTTGCTGTCTCTACTTTATCTCCTTTCCACCCTCCATCATTAGATTCAATGAGCCACCTTTTAAATCTGATCCCTTTTCTATTGGTAAAAAACTATGATCATCATGGTAGTAGATATTTTAGGTGAGGGTTAATATTAAAAAGACAACTCCCCTCTAATCAACTTTTCTTCTGATAAATTATAAACACAAATATCTTATACTGCATTCTACATGTCCTGCCTACTATTTTGACAATTTTCTACACACTTGCTGCAGTCATGCTTTTGTGTCTAAAGCCACCAGTTTGGCTCCTTTCTAATGTTTAATGAGTTTACTGTGTCTGATTTTAACTCTCTGAAGTAAGCAGTATATCTAAATGGCGGGCTAACCTCTTCTGTAACTCTGTTTTTTTTTTTTTGCCAGAATGAAGTGATCAGCCAGCAGCTGTCTGCTATCTTTACTCAGTGTTATGGCCCTTATCCCATTCCCAAACTGTCAGAGATAAAGAGAAAGCAGACATCCCGACTGGGTAAGATTTTTCCTTATGGATTTATTGTTTAAAACAGCTCTGAAAGCGGATCCATAATGTTATGAAGTTGCTCATAACACCATCTAGTGTTGTTAGTGGGCATTTAAATTTTTATGTAAATCTTCCCTGATCTGGAATTTGGGCTGCTGTTTTTTTCCCCTAAGTTGATGACAAAAATAAAAAATAAAAAAAATAGAAAATAAAAAAAAAACTGTGTTTTTCAGATCCTCACTTCCTGAATAATAAGGACATGTCTGATGTGACTTTTTTGGTTGACGGGAAGCCATTTTATGCTCACAAAGTCCTGCTCTTCACAGCTTCCAACAGGTATAAACATTTTAAGTCTCCTCTTTTTAAGTATGATCAGCCTGATAAAAAAAAAAACAGTGACTCATCAAATGTGATTTTGTTTTGTTATGTTTGAACTGAGACCAATACTGCATTCAGAAAAAATTTATATATACTTTTTTGTGTCATCTGTTTTCTTAAGATTCAAAACTCTTCTAGCAAACAGACCCTGTGGCGAAAATACATGCATTGAAATCAGCAACGTCAAATATCATATATTTCAGGTAATGAAAATACTTACTATAACGGGTTTGTACCAACAGAGCTGGTGAAATGTATCCACTTTGAACTTAGTCTAATACAAATTATACATGTTGCCCTAATATATACAGTACACAAATGCTGCATAACAGGTTTAAACAGGCACATTTTGTAGCCATCAACAGGTTCATGGTATAATACATGGTAAAATTGGCCGCTCTTGTAGGCGGAATTTGATAAAGGAATGGTTGATTTGTTTTAGAATTTTATGATGGGATTTTATTACATTTTTTTTCTGTTTTTGGACGGATGTACAAATTTACAATAGGGCTGAGATCTGGTAAGGCCATGGCAGATGCCTAATATTAGCTTGCATTATATACAGTATCTCAGAATTAATTAGACAATAATGCACGGATAAGCTAATGTTGATGATAGATATATGGAACAAACCAACCTTGGTGTCAATCTTATTGAAACTTTTGAAGATATAAGGTCTTATAGAGGAAGCAATCAATTTAAATGATCATTGTCAACCCTACTAAGTAGAGTGATCTAATTATTAATTAAAATGATGCTAGGATTTTGCTTTATCTATCTGTCTATATGTAGATATATATATGTATAATTGTGCCTGTGTGATTATTTTAACAGCTGGTGATGCAGTATCTTTACTTCGGAGGAACCGACGCTCTTCACATCAGGAGCACAGATGTTATGGAGGTTAGATAAACAATAAGCCTTCGACTCTTATCCTAAAACCTGTAATTTAACCTTAATAAATGTCACTCTATGAGTTCTTAAACCTTGACTATTATGTAGCCTTAATTATTTTTAAACTAATTTTTGTTTTTTTTCTTCCAGCTGTTGTCTGCAGCCAAGTTCTTTCAGCTGGAAGCTCTGCAGAGGCACTGTGAGATCATCTGCACCAAGAACATTAACACTGAAACTTGTGTTGAGATCTATAACCACACAAAGGTAAAGAAAAAACAGGAAAGTTTTACAAAAAATATTTAATTCAAAGCAAAATGTTTTCATTTAATGATTTTTTTTAATGTTTGTGGTCAAATTTTTGTTTACGCTAGGTTTAAGTTAATAAAGTTAGGTATTCTCCTCTCTTCTCAGTTTCTTGATGCTCCAGACTTAGCATCCTACATAGAAGGCTTCTTCTTGAAAAACATGGTCATCCTGATTGAACTGGAGCCTTTCAAACAGCTGCTGTATGACACACCTCCTGAAAGCCCTGGCAGCGACATCCTGCAGGCCTTGGAGAAAACTCTGGCCATTCGCATTCAGTCCATTCACTTGTCTTCCTCCAAAGGATCAATAGTCTGAGCTCTTATATAGGGGAAATGTTTGTTTAAAACATTGTGTGCCCACATTATCTAGCTAGCATATGAAGTCCATTCTATAGCAAAAGCAAGTGCACTTCATAGAAGGCACTAAAATCGCAGTAACACACTGTCATTCTACTGGCTGGAAATGTTTATTAATGGATAAATGATAAGTAATACGTACATGATGAAAGGGAAGTAAACAGGAGGGAATAATATTTGGTCAAGAAGCATCGGATATCAATACAGAAGCAACATGAGGGCTGAGAAAGGCATAAATGTGAGCAAGCATTAGTTTTTAAATAGATTTAAGGTAAAGCAATTCTAACATCAGATACTGATTGTTTGGAATCTTGCTCTCAGATTTAAAATCTATACTCTTTTATTTTGAAAAAACATTTCTCAAGACCTCATGAGCAATAGTTGAAAAAAAAAAGGATCTGTGTGGTAGAACATTTCCAGTTGAGAATAAAATCTGAGAACCACAGACCTTCAGAGTATAATCTTTGTTCGTCATCAGTTGCTAACATGCTTTATGTTATCTTAGCACATGGTGACAAATCTGTTTGCCTTGTTTATATGCATCTACTAACACAACTGTCATCTGGTAGTTGTATTAAATCTCATCTTGCCAATAGCAACTCAAACACAATTATGAGAGCTTCAGAATATGTGGTTAAATAGAATATTCCTGGGTATGACGAAGAACCACTGCCTCATTTTGTGATTGTTTGCTGGAATACCTGTACAGAGCAGATCATTTGTATATTTATGGATCAGTTATTTGCAAATTACTGAGTAAAGCCAAACAAGTCTAGTAAAAGGCAACAAAATAAAGATGTGACTAAAGAAATGGGACTTTTGAAAAAGGAATTTTATGTCCTTAACTGCTTTGTAAATTTTGTGGATAAAACAGAGATATTGATGATGTAAGTTAATGTATATATCCACACATTTTTTTCATGTGTCTTAATGTTAGATATTGCTGTAAAAAGAAATTTGTTCATCTTATAAACATAAATGTTTAAGTGTTGCATGTTTGAACCTAAAGAACTGTTTTCACATTTTGGAATCGTCTGTCATTACCGTGGGTCACTATTAATGTGTCACTGTAAAATACGATCTTTTGGTTGTTTCTTAGAGGCTGCAGGGATGTTTATTCAAACATAATGCTACAGGAATTTTTATTTTCTTTCCCAGAGATTTGCTTTTAACTTGTGGTGCTGGCTCTTATCTTTTATTCTGTTTGATGAGGAGTTTTTAGGGCAGCTCTGTTGTCATTTTATCCTCTGCAGCAAAAGGTCAGATCTCTGCTGGTAGTAAGTTTAATGTAGGATCCAGCAGTGCTCATGGCAGTAGGGTCCAAATTGCCTGAAATCTGTGACAAAAATAAAGATATAAAACACTTCATTAACTTCATTCTCATTTTGGCTTGAAATGAACAAACTTCGTAGGAACCTTATAAACACTGGCCGGAGTCTGTGACTTTAATCATTCATATTTGCTGAGTTACTGAGATCTAACCAAAACAGAATATTGCTAATAGAGTTTTCTGACATATATAAATAAATGATATATAAATGATAAACAAAATCTGATACACATGAAAAAAGTATGCATCATTATAGGAATATTTTTTATAATTTTTAAATCAGCTTTGAGTCCACCTTAGCACTAGATTGCAGTTGGTTTAAGATGAGTTCATATGACATTCTTGGTGGTTCCTTAGTTTGGAAGATTAACACAAAAAAAGTAACATTACTGCAACCAAATCTGGCACATTGATCAGGCTTTGGCATAACTTGGCGAGTTATGGTATTTTGCTGATTTTAGGATTCTGTTTCTCGGCTTGTGAGTCTCAGAACTCAGCTTTGTTGATAACCTAAAAGTAAATAACCTCAGACTTTCCTCACCACTTAAAGACAAAGATCACCATTATGTACACTGAGGAAAATCTATACAATTTCTCCTCTGGTTCTCAATTTCTGATAAAAGAACACACAATCTGAAGACTTTCCAATGTTCTTTGTAAATAAGGTTGATGTAAGGGGTCTGGGGGTAGGGATAGGGTTCAGGCTAGGAAGCAAGCAGCTTCCATAGAAAGAATTTGTTAGGATGGCAATATTGTAAAATGCTCAGGAAAGGCTTATATTTCAGTTTACAAGGTTAACTTTTTATATATATATATATATATAAAGACAAGAAGAGTAATGTTACAGCTCTATCAGAAAAATACAAAATAAAGTTTTCCTGCAACACAAAATAATAGAAGTAGAATAAGTAACACCAAGATAAGTTATCAGATTCACCGTCCTGTAAGGTTGCATATGCGTAAATAAATAAAGTAAAATAAAATAAAGCATTAAAACTACATTTTCAAGTAGTTGTGCAAAACTAAACCAGGTACATGTATAATAAAACCACATGAAACTTCTGAGGACTTGAATTTATTCAACTCTGCTTTTTATAGTTACTCTCAAGTAGTTAGTTGTAGTTTTTAATAGATAAGGTTCAGAGTGTGGAGAATAAACCATGGTCCAGCCAATGAGAGATTTTACCAGCAAAAAGCTATTTCTGAGCAAGTAATCACAAATCTAGGCCAACCAGTCGGCACTTTACACTGGACAGCTACCTGCAGCTACAACACATGACTGAAATATGAAATGCTCAGGAGAAATCAAAGGTATTCTCCAGCTGGTGGGTGAGGATGGTGTTTAACCAATACAACCTGAAAGACCACATATTGTAATGCATGGATTTTATAATAATTCACTCATGTAGGGAAAATTATGTTTGACCTACTCATTCCAAATTATAATCTAATACAATACAGTTTTGTTTAAGGTAAAAATTATTTATTATAAAAGTTCTTTATCTAAGGAAGCTCAACTGATTTCTTGAGTAACTGACACTGAAGCCACTTCCCATTCTGAATAAGCATGTGGCAGAAATGGACCCATCTGTCTTAGAAAGGAGAAACCTCCATTAGAATCAGGCTCTCTATGAGTGGCCATTTCTGGGACCAAATGGGATAGAATGACAGTAGACAGACAGAAGAAAAACAACATTAAACCAATGGAGTTCTTTTCAAACAGGAATTGAAATTGAAAATAGTCACTTCCTCCAGGGAAAAGAAAGTTAAACCCTGCAGTGTTTCTAACAATGAAATATATTCAAAAAAAAAAAAAAAGGACCACTTGGCCTTATAGAGTTGTGTAACATACATTTCCACGATGATTATTTTCTCCTTCCATTTTTGCCTGAAGTACACAGGACTATTCAGTGAGGGTTAAAGTGGATCCACAGGCTTTCTGAAGCTCTTAGAAGTTTTCATCAAACAAAATAACTTTAACATTAACTTTATGCATTTTACTTTACACTACCTTTGTAGATGACTTGTTCTTGTATGTTTCTTTCTCTAAATAATTTCCCCCTAAAATGACAAATAAATAAAGGAATTGATTAGTGCTTATACATAAATAAGTTCACTGGGTTTTATGGAATTCAGTAATCAGGGGAAAGATGCTAACAATATGTCAAAATGTCATTACACAGGAGAAATATTGTTATATTTTTACATCTTCTGTTGGGCTAATCAAGGAAAAAGCTGACAAAATATATTCTTATTTCACTGGATTCTCTTCAAACATTGTGCTTGAAACATTCCTGCTTTTTACTGGTGTCTTTATGAAGCTAAGGAATGTTTGATACTGATTTGAAGTTTGTCCAATTTGACAATGATAATGCCAGCAATGGTTTGAAATGCCATATTTCTTCCCCTTTGCTGATTTTCACCTCACTTATTTATGTTTATATTAGTGCTCAATTCTCTGATTACATTAGTGCTCTAATGCTTAACGGTGCTGCAACCAGCCAGTTTCACAGATCCCTTCTAATGTTTCTGGAGACTGTTGAAAAGTGCATGTCTCCCTCTGAGAGTGCACTTAGTAATTGAAGGACAGTTGTTTAGACGTCACCATGGCTACAGCTCCCCGAGAACAATATGGAGCTGGGAATGCTGTGGAACAAACAGCAACATGTCTGAATGTAGACATAATCAACACTTAGTCTTGGATTTTCTTTATTGGTGGCATTTTTCTAACTAAATTTTATTTACAAAGAAAAATATTCATTACTTGATTAGCCCTGCCAGACAGAAGAGCATTTGATATATCCATGGAAATGTCTCGACTGCCTCTTTTCTAAAGCACTGCTGGGTATCTTAATTTACTGAGCTGTAAACCAAGAGTGAAGCACTTAAGTAACACCAGGGGAAGCTGTGTTGGGAAATATTGCAGGAGAACGAATGCAAACTGTCCCCAAAGAGATTTATCTGAAACTGTCACTTTGGTGATGTAAAAACAGTCTGAGTTGTTCTGTTCTGAACGCCCCATTGTTCAGTTTTCTAAGTGGGCTGACACGCACATATTTGAGTGTGTGTGTGTTTGTGTGCAAGAGCAAAGAGGAGGGGGGATAAAACAGGGGTGTCTGCCCTACTAACTCTGCCCCCAGTGTGAGCCCCTTCATCCTCCCCCTTGTTGTCATGCACAAGCGCTCTCCGTTTGGCACAAAGTAGTCTGGCAACACAACAGCCATGTGTTTCAGTTCCACGCTTTGAAGGGCACCAAAAACTTCTCAGAACTGCTCCTGCTAAACATTGCACAGTGTCAGAGGGAAAAGGGGAGAGAGAGAGAGACAGGCAGAGAGAGAAAGAACAAAAACAAAAAAAACGGGGGTGCAGTTAAAGAAGAAGTAAACTCTGAGAAAGATGAGACATCGGATGGCCCAGAGATAAGCTGCCTTGTATATGGATTTTTGACAGAAGTTAATTTGAACATTTGCAACAACAGGTAAGGATAAAGAGTGTGCCAAAAATTATTAATAAGCTAAAATTGCAATGTGTCATCATAGCTTTAACATGAAAATAATGGGGGTTGCGGTTTTCCATAACTAAGAGTTTAAAAGTTTTTATATTTAACGCTTTAAACGTTTTTGGACTTATTGCCAATGTTGAAATGCTTCCAGTCTACATGTTAAATGCTTAAAAGACCTTAAACTGGCAAAAATGTTGAAATATGGACATACTAGACCTTGCAAAGATATTTATATGCAAGCATCACATTTATGTTCGTGAATGTAACACAACAAATTATGGAAAGGTTAATTTCAATAGTTTGGTATGTTACAACTAAAAACACAAGTGTATTTTAATGTGAACTTATGTTACAGACCAATACCAAGTATTGGGATTATTGGGAAAAGGAAGGTTAGCTACAGAGAACATGGTTGTTATTTTTGCTTTAATTCTTTCCAGTCTGATAACCCTAAATAAAATAATTAGGCTAATTGCCTTCAAATATCAACAGGCTGTTAAACTGTCCTTCCGTGTATGAAGATTATTGTCAGTATCAATTCAACCATTATGAAAAGGTCTCTTTGCTTTATTAAAGCATTTAAACATTTTTTTTAAATGGCCATCAACACCTCAGACAGGTTAGGGATAAAGTTATGGGAAAATCCGCTTCCAGTTTGCAATGCGGAAGACAAAGCAAACTTATGGAAAAGGGTGTTCTGGTCATGTGATACCATAGCTGAATATTTGTGCCTAGATGTAAAATAAAATGCATTACAGAAGATTTACTCAGAACATCATTCTAAAAAAAACACAACCAAACTTTAAAAATAAAGTTGGTTTAAAAATCCTAATGTGGTGATGGTTGCATAGGGCCATCCAGGAAGAACACTACTAGCGCAAAATGACTAGACATAAATCTAGAGTTAAAATGGAATGCTTTAAAATAAAGCAGTTTATCTTGCTAGAACAGTTCAGTCAAAAAGCAGCACTAATTACAATTAGATATCATATGCAGGTCTTGAAAATTGCAACTCTACAGTAATTGTGAAATGATGAATTGGAAGAATCAATTGAATTACATCTGCAAAGCTGGCAGACTCGATTCTACATGGCATTGACTTTAAGCAATGCTTTCAAGATTTATAATTGTAGAAATGTTTGGAAAGCATTTTCATTTTACCCTAGAACTAAACACTACAGTGTTGGTAACAATCTATAAAATATACAAGTTTAATAGGGGTAAAGACTTTGGCAAAATACTAGTTGTGGGGATTTTTTTTTATGTGCTTTTCATTCTGTTCCTTAAGTTGGATAAAGGTCATTTAAAAGATGCAGCGTGAAGATCTGTCTGCCAGAGAAGAGTTCACCTACAGCCGAACCTCCACATTGGAGAGAGGGAATGGGACTCTGGGACGGCGAGGCGACCGGAGTCTGGAGAGACGGCCAGAGCGCATGGAGAGAGAAAGGCCAGAGCGTGACAGCTACACTGTGGACGTGAGAGCCAGTGACCTGCAGCTGGCCCAGCCGGAGGCTCTAAGGCACCCCTGCTTCAGCTACAGGGCCTGGCTCTACAGTGTCCTCATAGGGGTGAGGGGGATATGGTCAGAAAAGAAAAAAAAATGGAGCACAATAAAGAATTTACCTGTCCAAATCATAAAAACTTAGAAGGCCGGGTGTATTTACTCTGTTCAGGAAGAAATATACCCCAGTCTACGAGTTTTGAATGAAATATGGTAACAAATTCTTGTTTTGTGCTTCTGCCTCAGAAGTAGAGAAAGATGGTCAGTGATGGATTAAATAAGCTTCCTTTCTATCAAGATCTTAATTTAGGCTGTGGGTTGCTCCATGTTAGCAATGTGGTTTAACAATTTCTAAGGAATCATTGTTATTATAAATGTGTTCATTAAATGACCCTTAGCAGGTTGTACCTTAACGGCAGCTTTTTGAATCCATCAGCCACCTTCTGTACCTATTCTGTCTGGGTATCTGAATCAAACTCATAGAATTAATCTATTTTTTCTTGATTTCTTTACACAGACAGGGCTTTTAGACATAGTCCACCTGTTTTCAATAGAAATGAGATGAGAGCTTTCTATAACTATTTATCACCCTGTTACAACCTTCTTACAAAACTGATTATCAACCTTGACATGTTTGAGGTAGGGAACTCTATCCAATACCAAATTACAAATTAAATTGGCACAATATTCAAAACTCCCTGCAACCCGAGCAAGAAAACATATAGAAATTTTAACAATTTGGAATAATTGAACTTGGATTACACTGGAAATTTTAAACATTCATCTCCATCTGATTTTTTTGTTAGTAGTTTTTATATACAAGTAGGGATATAAAAGGGATCAAGATATCAAATACGCATTAGATACGTACCCTACCTACTAACATTATAAGTTTAATAAGAAGTAAAATAACATAACAATTTTATACAGGTATTTGTGTGGGTATGTGACGCATTTTTACAAACAGTCCCCATAAAAAACATCTCTATATGTGTACTTCAAAAAGGTTAGTATCATACAGTCTTAAAGCAAAATAAAGCTTTAAAAAAGTGTTTTTTCCAGGATATTCTTTGACCACTGTAGCCTATATTGAGACTTGAGGAGGCATTGCTGTGGATTCTGCTCACCAGTCTCACCAGCAAACCTAAAGAAGTTTGTTGAAACACTATTGGGCAAGATACACCTAAAACCCGATTGAGCCACAGGTCAATCGGGTGTTATGTGTCATTGAAGTTGTTATTATGATCTCACACTGAAGACTCAATGCATCTTTTAACCAAATTCAAGAACACAGATTTTTTTTAAGATGACTGGAAGGAAACTCACTGGTAGAGTGTGGGTCGGCAAATATACATGCATCTGTGTCCTTCTATCTGTCTGTGTTTGAACATCCCCAGGGGAGTCTGCTCATCACATCTGGTTTTTCTCTGTACCTGGGAAACCTGTTTCCTGTTGCCATGGACTACTTACGCTGTGCTGCGGGCTCAGTGAGTGACCATCTCTGACCCAACTTAACGCCATTTCAATGAGAGCTTTTTGGCATTTTATTGCAACAGCATTTGCCTTAGGATAATTAGTGTAAGATACTTATGTTCTTCATAGGGCATACCTGCAGCGATAGCTAGCTTTGCTATTGCCAAGAAAAGACATGTTGCGGTAAGTGAATGCTGAAAGCACAAGGGCTGTTACTTTTTATGTAAGAGCTACAACTTATAAGTGTTTTTTTTTTTATGTTGCGACAATAACAAAGCTTTTATTTTTTATTTTATTTTATTTTTTTATTCTGCTTACAGGTGTCAGATTTCCAGGTTGTCTATGTGTCAACATTTGCAGTGACGACCACCTGTCTTGTGTGGTTTGGCTGTAAACTGGTCCTGAATCCTTCTGCTGTCAATGTAAATCCTCTCTCAGTCTAAGATTGCTTATTTTTTCTGAAGAACATTTAGTTTCTACTCCTCAGTGGTTTTTGTTTTCCTTTTTTTTTTAAACACGCCTCTTTCTGTTCCCAGATCAACTTCAACCTCATCTTGATGATTGTACTGGAGGTATTGATGGCTACCACTGTCATACTGTCAGCCCGCTCTGCAGACGACTGCTGCTGCCATAGGAAGGTTTGACTGGTTGCTTTTGTCTTTTTCCACCTAATTCCTCTTTGTTTTCCTCCATCCTAATCCCTCTCAATCTTTCTGTGTATTTCAAAGTCATATAACAGACCCATGGTCATAAAACCAGCCGTGTTCCCCACTCGACTCCTCAAAGCATACTCTGTGAGTAAAGTTTTCACCTGTATTTAAAAAAAAAAAAAAAAAAACTTCAAATGTTGTTTAATTGCTGAAGATGTTCCTCTCAGGTGATCGAAGTCATTGTGGGAATCTCTGCTGTATTCGGAGGGATTATCGCCCTCAACATGGACGCTCTGCTTCCTGGCCCATACCTGTCAGTCACATTTTTCTGGATCCTTGTAGCTGTAGGTTTTCTCACCCTCTTACATTTGAGAAATCTGAATTATTCAAAGGAATTGAGATGTGAATGAAACTTTGAATTTAATCCTTTGCAGTGTTTTCCAAGTGCAATTGCCAGTCATGTTGTGTCAGAATACCCCAACAAATGCTTGGTGAGTATGATTATTTTGTAACTCTTTGATTAGAAAAATGATAAGTATAGCTGTTTAATTTAAAAATAATCAATAAATAGCAATGCATAGGTGCAGCAGACCTATAGTTTCATATTTTAATATTTATTTTCAAATAAGTTTAGTTACTGTCTATTTCTACTCAGGCTTTTGCACAGCTTTAAGCCAAATGTAATGTTATTGCATATTGCAAGAATCGGATTTAATATTTTGACTAATTCAATTTCAATCAGTGCTTATTCAGTTGATCCAGTTGTACAGTCTAAAGTTCAATTTATGAATCCATACCAGTTTATAAACAATTACAATGAAGTCCAAAAGGATTCACTCTCCTGGAAAAATTTGATTCATTATTTTTGTCATGAAACCAATAACCTTGTTTCAGGAATATTCAGGAATATATAATACATATGATATTAACTTTTGAACATTGATATCATTAACAACAGAATAGACCCGTTCAAAGCAACATAGAAAAGAAAAAAAACTCCAGCAGCTGATGCTGCCAGGGGTATGAACAATTATTGTTTTTAGGTGTTAAGCTGTATAGGCTCAGCTGACTGCATCAACTTACGGTCTATACATTTTATTTCTTCCATACAAAAGACAACAATCGTTTTTCAAGGTTTTAGGTTGGTGCAATAAGTGCAATAAATGTCTTCATGACTTTCAATGGAATATTTGATCAGAGAAAGAAAATAAATATTAAAATTTCATGATTCTACTACAAAAGCATGTTTTTTCCACTTTCAATTTAATTCTCTATTTGCTTCACTGAGTCAATAAAATGTATTATTTTCTCCAGCAGAAAACCTCCCCACAGATTTTAAACCCAATAGTATTGATTGTCTCTGTCTTTATAGTTACACTACAATATCAGGCAAATTCCTCCATGCTTGGTATATTAGAACCCAAAACCTTAATGAATTTAATTTAAATTATGGGTTGGAGACCAGAATAAAATAGTCCATAATTGTGATGTGGAAAGGAAAGCATACATTATTTTTTTTTATCAATAAAATTTCAGAAATAATATGGCTCATGCACTATTTACTTACAATAGGTAATAGGCCATTTCTAAAGGGTTTTGGGTCGATCTTATTTAGCAGTGGCAAAGTAAAGAAGGGTAGATAAAATGCAGGACAAATATTACTTATATAACATATCAATTTCTTACCCATTTGGAAATCTACATAAAATCCTAATGAAATACATGTCAGTGTGTAGATAAAATGTGATGCAAATAAGAAAAATATACACTCTCTGATTCTAGTAAAGTAAAATAGAATATATTTATATTCAATAAATAATCAAAAAGCAGTCTTAATCGAAGGCATCGAGACTTTCACTCAGTTATTCTGAGGAGGTTTCAACATATACCCAGGAGTCTTTTTCAGTTTTGTCAGGTTGCACCAGAGCAGCCTGTCAGAGAGCAGATTTTCTTAAGCAGCATTGAGGTCCATCCTCCAAAGCACATTCCAAGTTAGATGCAAATAAATGATCAATCAATGAGCAACCTGTCATCCTCCTGCGTTGTTTGAGGAATATGTGTTTGCGCATTTGAATCATGATCGGTGTGCTTATGTAGCTTTTTTCGAACGAATTTCATAACCAAATTGTAGATGCTTGGAAGCTGATGCTGCAATTTCAACATTAATACCTTTTTTTTTAAAAGGCTGCAATTGGGGTTAAAAAAAAAAGGCAGTTACATTTTTTAAAGTTGACAGTACAATCAGTTTTTTTTAATTCAAGTTCAAAGAATCCTTAACGAGAACATTGTTGAGACTGTGACTTCAATACTAAAGACCACCGAAGTAAAAAAAAAATGAAAAATTGTGAATTTAATTAATTAAATCTGCCAAATTGTAGTTTTTAATCATTATGTTGCATATTCTCCAAAGGTTAACCATCATGTTGGATATGATAAACAGTGTCTTAGTGTTACATTTCTGTATCTTCTCTTGTAAGCCAATAATAACAATTAACTTATTTCCTCTTACTTGCCCCTGTTTTGTTGTTTCAGGTGGAGGTGCTGATAGCCATCAGCAGTGTGACATCACCCCTCCTCTTTTCTGCCTCTGGTTTCCTTTCTAGCAGTGTGATCAGTTTTATAGAAATTTTCCTCTATGATGTGCCTACAGCCAAGGTGACTATAATTAAAAAAGAAGCTTGACGATTTACAGGGTTGTACAGCTAGAGTGGTTGAATGATTTGTGATGATTCGTGAGAAAATCAAAAATACCCTCTGATTTCCTGTGTGTGTCTCCCAGCAATCCTATGACATCCTGCTGTTGATCCTGATGGTGCTGCTGCTGGTGCAGGCAGTACTTACATCAGCCACTGTGGTGCACTGTGCAGCATACAAGAGTCGGCTCCGCATGGGGGCTCCAGAGTGCGAGGACAGCTTGCAGACCACAACTCATTTCAATGAGGTATAGCATGTTTAAACAGGACAAATGGGTCAAAGGTCATTCTCAAATGACAAACTCTGCTTTAGTTTATTATTATTATTTTTTTTTTATAGCTTTAATGTATCAAAACTACATTTAAAAACAGAAACTTGGACATTAACAAGGAATTTAGAATAAGTGTTTTATAAAGACTTTTTTTTTCATTATATTCTTTTAATCTCTGTTTCTCCTTTGTGTTTTGATTCATAAGCAGCAGACGCCTAATGGGACGCTGCAGGATTACGAAAAAGACAGAGCCTGGAAGGCAGTCTTGGTCCAAATGGCCCAGTGAGCAATATTGTCTCAAATAAAAGTTTCTGCCTATTTCGATTACCTATTATATAGAGTAATCATTCTAAAAACGTGCTTTCTTAAAAAAAAAAAAAAAAAAAAAAAACAAGAAAAGAGAAAGAAAGTCCATGCTCTGCAAGTATGTGAACAAAGAATAAAAGAGAATGAGGAAAACAGAACTGAAAATAAAAAAAGACTGAGAAGAAAGTCTTTAAAAAGTTTTTAATATTTCCATAAATTTGAATTTCCCTTTTTTGTTGTTGTTAGATGATTTCAGTTATAATTAGGACGTGTTTAATCAGGAAACAGATTTTTTTCAACCCATTAATATTAGTTTTACCTACAGTAATAAATAAAATGTGGTTATAATCAGCAATGGTTCAGTGGCTTAAGTTGACACAGAGCTCATTATTTCAGTTACATAATAAAACACAAATGGTTAAGTGGAGCATCTTTTATACTTAAGATGTAATAAATGTTAAGGCATTCACTATAGTAAATTCATTCTTTGTGTTTAGAAAGCAAAGGCAATGTGTTATTGCAAAGCAGCTAATCTGTTACTGTGAACCAAAAGGTTTATTGATGTAACTAGAAAGTACTTATTAATATGTTTTATAAAACCAGATTGGAATTTATCAGGGTGCTTTTGTGTTGATTCTATCCTGCCGATATGATCAGATATTTATAAAATCTCTGTTGTTAAAAATGATCAAAAAACATAATTACAACTTACTTGACATGTTATGTTTATTCGACATTTAATGGTCACTAATAGAAAACAGACATATGGTAATAAACTGTAAAAGAACAAATTAACTGTTTCTGTTCAGATCATTAAGGATTTAAAATGAAATCTAATTCAGCAAATGCTGAAATCATGATATCTTATTTTTAGTGCTCTTTTATACAATTTCTTTAAAGTTAAAATGTCACATACAAGATTAATATTTCCGTAGACAATTTACACAAGCTAATAGAATGCTGGAAGAAAATCTCATGGCTTTGTTTGCATCTTATTGGGTGAAAAAGAGGCAAACTAGTTGATATACTTTAATGCAATGGGAATGTTTGGCAATCATAAGATTTAGGAAGGAGGGTTATGTCCCACAAAAAAGCTGATAAGTAAAAAGGTGAAAATAACCTAATGTTAGTGGTATAGTAGAGGATTTTCGCACATTTTGAAAAGACCCGCCCTCTCAACTTAAAAAAAATGCACACGCACAACCTGAACCCTATCCGGAGATTGAACGACTATTAAACGTATGCAAGAGCATGCACAAGCCCATTTTTCTTCGTGCACACTCTGTTTAAAAGTTGCTGTTTGCATCACTCATACAAGCTTACTTTCCAAAAGAAGATTTGCAATTTTCCCTCTATGTCAGACTCACCACCTGTGAGTGAAAATGGAGACAAGCACGTAGGACGGCCTTATGTAAACATATCACCAGAATGATTAACAATTAGGAGGACCAATTATTGAGATGATCCACACGGAAAAAGAGCATCCTTCGCTATACCTTCAAGATGCAAAATAAAAGGTAAACACTATGTGAAGATGTTTGATGAAGCCTGAGGGTAGGTTTTAACAATGAAAGAACTCCTGTACCAATGTGGGCTGGGAAGAAGTTATTTATCTGACCACAAAAAGACTGTTTGTTTTGGATCCATCTTCTGTGGTCTGGTGAGATCAAAATGATAGTATCTGTCTATGATGGCTGCCGTTACATTTTGAAGAAAAAAGTGAAACCTGAATATATAATCTCAACTAAGGGGTACATTATACTGTGTGGGTCTTTTGCTTTACAAAATAGTTGACAATATGTGGACATAAAAGACGTATCCCACAGAGCAAAATTGGTTGAAAAGACATTGATAAGGCGACATGATTTACGTCCAAACAATGTCTACACTTTGTTGAAAAGTGAAAGGTGAAAAGCCCTCATATTTAGATAGTTGAAAAGACTTTAAAAATTGGGTTTTCAACGTATATTATTGAAATAAAGTGGGACAAAATCAGACAGAGCAAACACAGCCCAATTTTCAACAACTATTTTCTAGACCAAATCCAGACTATGATGCAACAACGACATTCAGCCTAAAATCCAATGTCTAAACTATGTCTAGTGTTTAGGGGGATAAGTATTAAAGCAAAACAATCCTGAAATCCTGGGCACAAATGAGTTATTGGATATGGTCAATGCTTGTAAGTATACTATCAAAGTACTTACAAAAGGCTTAATGACGACAAAGTCAACGTTTTTGACCCACCTTGGTTGAAAAGACATTGTAAAGACATCTACATTTGGTTTAAAAGTGAGAGGTGAAAAGCAATATTTTTCAGATCGTTGAAAAGACTTTGAAAACTGGGTTTGCAATGTCTTTTCAACATCTGTTATTGGGCTAATGTGGTAAATGTTCAACAATGACCAGATTTAGACTTAAAACCAACGTCTAAATGACGTCTGGTGTTTGGAGGGAAAGCTCTGATCTGAATCGTATAGATAACTGTCAGCATATCTGAAAGGTTGTAGGTGAGCAAAATGAGCTATATAGCAGACACAAAAAAGGCCAAAGTTCCTGCAAACTACTTTGAAAGGTCTGTAAAGAACACATAGAATTTTAGTCCTAATTTAATCAGAATAAAAGATAATTATGCACAATTAATACAGAGGAAATGTTTGACCCTCTATATTTTAATAAAACGTTAAAGAATTTCTGATTTCATCATTGGATTAAACAGCTTTCTACTTAGAGTTGTGTCATGTCTGCTAGAGGTTAAGATGCGATTTTTTTCCATTTCTATTATTTTTGTAAATGTTTCAGATCATTAAGAAATTTTAAAATCCGATGAAGATAATCTGAGTAAATACAATAAGCAGTTTTTAAATGGTAATTTTATTCATGAAGAAGGGGGCGAGCTATCCAAACTGACCTAGTCACATGTAAAAAAGTTGTTCCCTGTAAAACAGAATTACTAGTTGCGACACTACAGTAAAGGCTGATTAAAAGTTTGTGATAACTCGGGAACGTTTCCATTGAGGAATTTTAGCTCACTTCCCCTTTCAGGAACTTTTAATTCTGCCATTTTGGAAGATTTCTAAGTATGAATAGCATGTAAACTTCACACGCTAACGACATTAAACCGCCCTTATGTGTACACAGCCCTTATGCGTTGGATGAGGATCCATTCAGTATTCAGATAAATATTTGTATAATAAGTGTTTTGGATGTTTGCATTCTACATGTTCCTAGTTTAGGTTCTGTGTGGAGATTTATTTGAGTGGTTCTGGTAATAAAGAAGATAGTGAAAGCCTCCTGTGCCTCATATCTTTTCTATCAAGATTTATCCTGTATGACATTCATTTGATGTGACAATTAGGCATGCACCCAAATAAGAAGTGTGATAACAGCTAGGATCTAAAGAAAACATTAATGCTTTAAAAGCCTTAAAGATTCTTAATTAAAAACAAAGGAAAATTCTTGGGGCTGTTTCAAGTCGAAGATTTGTAAAGCCGACAATAGGTGTACATACGGATTTTTACTCTACCTCTTGTATTTTTTTTCTCACTATGTTGATAAGCTTTCAAAAGTGCATTGACTATGGGTTTAAAAATTGAGGAAAACATTCAAAAACAAATTACATTTTCTTTTTAACATTTTAATTTTGTAAAATATTTTCCTGGAATCTTAAATTTCATTACTATTGGTGAATAAAATTATTCATCACAAAATACATATGAAATATAATATATATTCAGTAGACCAAAAAATATTATTTTAAACCTGAAACAAAGTGCACAAAACTACATAAACTGTACTTTTTCATAGACTTTAAATCCAGTATAGATTAGTGTTATTAGGTGTGACAACATTATTAGATACTAGACAATTAGAGATATTGATTTAGATCGTTTGAGGTAAAGTACCTCTCTCAGTCAGCCCCCTCTTTTCCCTGTAAGAGGTTGTTGTTTTTGCAAATTTATTTTTTGTGGTTTCAAAAGCCAATCTAGACTTCCACTATCCTGGTAACCTCAGTTTCATAATTACATTAAGGTCTGACTTAAAAGCTTTGCTATCGTGTTACAGCCTTTCCAGTCTTGATAATGGGCACTGCTTTCTGTTCCTTACAGAGGTTTAAGAAGAGATTTTGAAATGTCTGACTTTTCCTCCTATTTCCAACCAAGGTTATTTTAATTTTTTTTATCAAAATATATACAGTGGGTACGGAAAGTATTCAGACCCCTTTAAATTTTTGGTTTTTTTTTTCTTTGCGGCCTTTTGTTAAATTCATTAAGTTTCTTTTTTTTTTTCGTTACGTTCCCTTCGGCCCCCCTTTTTGCCGGAAAAAAACAAAAATGTAGAAATATTTGCGAGTTTATTAAAAGAGAAAAACTGAAAAATCAAATAAGTATTCAGACCCTTTGCTGTGACACTCATATTTAATTCACATGATGTCCATTTCTTTTTATCCCCCTTGACATTGTTCAGCTCTTTAATTGGAATGCACCTGTGTTTATTAAACTGATTGGCATTGATTAGGAAAGGCACACACCTGTCTATATAAGACTTTACTGCTCATGTCAAAGCAAACGAGAATCATGAGGTCGAAGGAACTGCTCGAGGAGCTCAGAGACAGAATTGTGGCAAGGCACAGATCTGGCCGAGGTTATAAATTAATTTCTGCATCTCTCAAGGTTTCTAAAAGCACAGTGGCCTCCATAATTCTTAAATGGAAGCAGTTTGGGATGACCAGAACTCTTCCTAGACCTGGCCGTCCATCCAAACTGAGCAATCGTTGTTGAGGAGCCTTGTTGAGAGAGGTAAAGAAGAACCCAAAAGATCACTGCTACTGAGCTCCAGAGATGCAGTAGGGAGATGAGAGAATGTTCCACAAAGTCAACTATCACTGCACCCCTCCACCTGTCAGGACTTTATGGCAGAGTGGCCCTACGAAAGCCTCTCCTCAGCAGGACATATGAAAGCCTGCATAGAGTTTGCCAAAAAAACACATGAAGGACTGAAGGCCAGACTATGAGAAAAAAAGGTTATCTGGTCTGATGAGACCAAGATTTAACTTTTTGCCGTTAAATCTAAGTGGTATGTGTGGATAAAACCAGGCACTGCTCATCACCTGCCCAATAAAATCCCAACAGTGAAACATGGTGGTGGCAGCATCATGCTATGGGGGTGTTTTTCAGCTGCAGGCACCAGACGACTGGTTGCAATTGAAGGGAAGATGAATGTGGCCAAGTACAGAGATATCCTTGAAGAAAACCTCTTTAAGAGTGCTCAGGACCTCAGACTGGGCCGAAGCTTCACCTTCCAACAAGACAATGACCCTAAGCACACAGCTAAAATAACAAAGGAGTGGCTTAGGAACAACTCTGTGACCATTCTTGACTGGCCCAGCCAGAGCCCTGACCTAAACTCAAATGATCATCTCTGGAGAGACCTGAAAATGGCTGTTCACCAACTCTCATCATCCAACCTGACAGAACTGGAGAGGACCTGCAAGGAAGAATGGCAGAGGATCCTCAAATCTGGGTGTGAGAAACATATTCTCATCATTCTGAAGAAGACAAATGGCTCTACTAGCTCAAAAGGGTGCTTCTATTCAATACTGAACCAAACGTCTGCATACTTATAAAGATGTGAATAAAGATGTAAATTTGCAAAAATGGTAACATTTTGGTGTTTTTTTCTGACAAGATAGGGTCCTGAGTTTACATTAATAATAAATAAAATTAACTTTATGGATTTTATTCCAATACATTTTCCAGACAAAATACTTTCCATACCCAGTGTGTAGATAGATAGATACAGTTTTTTTTTTTTTTTTTAGATACCAATATTATGAAAAGATTGCACTGTCAGGAAACTAAATCTTCAAGGCTTGTTGAAGGTTACATAAATATGAAGGAGGAGGGGTGAGGCAGAAGGAAGGAGCCTATATTTGGAAGCAGTGCGTGGTGAGGAGCGGATTCCCTTACTGGCAGAAGCCAGCTTGGGGTTTCATACTAATGGTTAGGCCCTACTTGGACACACTCAGACATTTACACAAGAGCAAAACGATCTCAGCAGTAAGCAGAAATGTTTCAGAGGCTGTAAACATACTCAAATCAAATATTTCCTTTATAAGTGTGCAGCGTGTTCTTTGATTTGACAGACAAGTGAGGCCTATAATTGTTGATGAGAGGTAATTGATATGGATTCGTTTGTGAATTTTATTTGCTATTTCACGTCTAAGACTGAGTCTGTGTCTTAACTACAGCTTTTGGTCTATGCCAAACATATTCTCTGTTCTAGTGTGTACATTACTCTATAAGTTCTGTTTTGTTTCTGGCAAACATTAGTTAGTTCTTCATGTTTTTTCAACGTGAGAAGAGTTTTCCTTCTTCCAAACCTCACAGCAGTGTTTTCCAATAGGGCAGGCATTTAAATCAAAATTAAATGTAGCAGGGACATTCCGTCCTTTGAAAGTATTTTAGTGTTTTCTGAAAGCACATTTAGCATCCTGCCACCTGATCTCAGGGTGACATTACTTTGAAACTACTACTATTACCATACTTTGTTGCCTTAAATCATCTCTACTTGTAGTTCAATATGAAAAACTTAGATGAAAACAGGAAAATTAGAAGAATTTTATTGATACAATTATTTTAAGATTTTGGTGCTAAGACCTCGGCAGGAAACATTAGCGGGAATTTTTCTTTAACATGCATGAGCAGGTGTATGAGAACAGGGATGTTTTCCACAGGCCTGGAACTGGTGGTAGAGTGGAGATAGATGAAGTTGGTTCAGTCCAGAGACTGCTGGTTGGTGAGACGATCTGCTTGAGCTGTACTGGATTTTGCATGAACCTGTCCATGATGAGCAAGCATGAAATGACAGTGGAGAGGAAAAACTCTCCTTTTGTAAGAAACCTCTGGCAGAACCAGGCTCAAATTGGAAAGGAAGTAAGAGTCCGGGAGGAATAACACTCTAATAGGGACGAGGTTGAAGAAACACCATGGAAAAGCCAGATGGAGCTTAGCTACGATGGTGGAGAAGGGGATGGAGGTGGGTTGAATCTGGGTCATCTGAGTCCAAATCAGACATACACAACCGCAGCTTGCTCTTTGGCTGGGTAGCAGGGTGATTCATGGAGTTGAAGTCTTTTGAAGATGAACTCTGATTGCTGATTGGGCTTCTTGGTGGTGCGGTTAAAAACTGATTGGCTTGCGATGGAGGATGATGAGCCTCTGATGGATGAGGGTAAGTAATTTAGTTTCAGTTGAACTTCTGCCTAAGCTTCATATGTTCTAGAGAGTGGAGTAGCTGAAATACATAAAAGACCTCTTTAAATGCCTAAACAGACTCATAAGCTTTTGATATTACTATGGCGTTACTTTAACAGTCAGAAGCACAAAAATCTAGGGTATTGCTGAAAATTGCTGAGTAATGACGTCCTCTGATATGAAGTAAAAGACAGTTGTGTTGTTTCATTTTATTTATTTAATTTGGGAATAAATGCAGGGATGTTGTAATCTACGGAGCCCCTAAAGGGACATGGAGGAAAAAATAAACTTTTGCGAGATCCCACAATACTTTTGCGAGATCTCGCAAAAAATAAACTTTTGCGAAACGCTTTGCAAGATGTCACAAAAGGTTTTCCCATGTCAGCGAACCGGAAGTAAAACAGACACACAACAGTGGAGGCGCAAAGTGTACTGCTATGGGAGGATAATACGCCCATGTGTCAGCTACAACCATAGAGGATGATTTGGAGAGATTCTTAATTTCTAAGTCCCAAAAGACAACATTACACGAATTAAGAGAGACAAGATCAATATGCAATTCTACGGAGCACCTAAAGGAACATAGAGGAAAAAATAAACTTTTGCGAGATCTCGCAAAACTATTGCTGGATCTCGCAAAAGTATTGCGGGATCTTGCAAAAGTTATTTATTGCCCTCCATGTCCCTTCAGGGGCTCTATAGTAATCTTTTCCTTACCAGAATCTGAAGAATGTTTCATTCTTAAGATTTAGGTTTCAGTATTAAAATGTCTTAAACTTGCTTGTTTTGTTATCAAATCACCTTAGATTAGTTAAAAGCCTTCTTAAAAACCCCCAAATTATTATTACTTACATGATGAGACTAAGTTTCTTGTAACATTGCAGTCCAAACAATTCACTTTTTTTAATCTCATAAACCTTCCTCGAAACAGGAGGTTTAGGAAACCTCTTGATAATGCCTCATCCACAGACAGAAAGGCAAAGAACCAAGCTGCTGGCCACACCCGGAAGGTTTGAATGACAAGCATCTTTCCCTGTCGTCGTTTGCATGTGTCTTGCGGTCAGTCTCATTCTCAGATGATGGACATGCGGGATAAACCTATAAGTAGACAAGAAAACGCAGTCATAGTCACGCAGCTATGGACCGAGCAAACAGGAGTTGGGCCGTACAGCCGGTCTGCAAGGCGTATAATCGATATTTGGAGTCAATAATGTGACAATTGGGGTGCTAAATTATCATGTTGAGTAGAAGATTGTCCCAGAAAGCTGCTTAGTTAGTATTTCAATCTCAATGTTTGTATAGGCATATTCATTTGTTACAGGATGTAGCTCATTTCCCTGTTTTTTTGTCTTGCCAACAAACCACTGCGCGTCTGTAATTCCACTTCAAACACTCAGAGAGCGGAAACAAAGATCCGCAGAATTTGTTTTTGAGGATGAGTCAAATGCAGGGAGGGAGGGGGTGGATTGGGGAAGAAGGCTGGAGTCACTGAGGGAGGGTGGAGGGGGAGAAAAGGCGGAACAAACCGGTGCGCTCGGATACAAGCTGTAGCGTCTCGCCCGCACTGCAGATTAACTCTTACCGCGCCGGGAAGACACAGCTGGATTCGGTGAGTTATTTTCAAATTCTTATCTCTCTCATTCTCGCCGCCTGCAAATAGCAGTAGTTCGCTCCAGAGCAGCTGCGGTTTGGTCTGATCTGAGTGTAGACAGGTAGACAGCAGATGCAGGTGCAGAGAGTCACAGGGTCTCCTCTCGTCTCACGCACACTCAAAGCACATGCATAAACATTTCAGCATACAAATCAAATCCATGTATTTGACGTTCAGCAGCCTTATCCCTGGTCGTGCGGGAGCTGTCCATTGCTCAGGTGCTGAAGCAGCTCGTCATCTACAGGCAAATGTAATTAACTGCAATGCAATGTCTCGGCAGAGGTGATGCCCTGGACTAATGGACCCCTTTTGGAAACAGCAGTTAGGATCCCAGCCTGCTGTGCTAACAAGGACATGATGATCTTTTTTTATGAGAAAAACAAAAATTCTTATTTGTTCACTTTAAACACTTACTCACGCTAAAATTGTGGAAAGTGTGACCATGCTGATTTAGTTATCTCGGCTTGACATTTAGACATCCTAACCAGATGCCCTCATCCCACCTTAGAAGTTCTTCCATGTAATTTCGTCATCCAATCAATAATTAATGGAGAAACGGAAAGAGCTCCCCTCTCTGAGCTATTGTCCTGAAGTCTAACTTAGCCTCCTTTCACAGACAGCTGCACTAGTCAAACCGCCAAGCGGGGATGTCGTAGTAGCCAAAAAAAGTGGGATTCCCTATGTAAACACTGGTAACATTGCCCACCTGAGGTGCACAATCTGTCAGGCTGGAGCCGTGCCAGTGGCAAACAGACAATTCCTTAAATGTCTTTCTGCTCCTTTAAATATAAATTATGCAAACTTTTCATCTTCTCTGATTATTGTCATAGTCTTGCAGGATGCAGGTGAAGCTAAAATTAATGTCGGGGTTAAAGTGGAAGGCTCTTATCCCAAAAGGGAAATCTCATGCTCTCCTTAAGGAACAGTAATTATCCTTTGTCAGCATTAACATCAAATAATTGGCCCTTGATAATGCTTCTAAGGATTCTTCTGCTCATGATCCCACCATCATGCTCACTATTAGGCTACAGAGGAGCACACTAATTGCTCTTTGCACTAGTGAAACCGCTACTTAATATTCTTTGATCTAAGATCTTAGGAGAATATTCCAGGATATACCAGTGTGTGCTATTAGAGGGTTTTTGTGGAAGAGCTGTAATTTTATAAGAGCGAGAAGGAGAGATTCAGATATGCAACTGTTAATAAAAAGAAGAAGCAATGGCATATAAATAGGGCTGGGTGAAAAAATTGATTTAATCGATTTTAAATCTATTCCTTTACATTTTTGCAAAATCGATGTGTAGGGAATGAGATCGATTAGTTTAATAGTGACATGCGTGACGTTCACATTCAAATGAGCAAGCAGGTGTAAATGCCGACCCAAGTAACACACCGCTCAGCAAGCTGTCCCAACCGAAGTCTGATGTCTGGAACCATTTTGGGTTTAAAACAGCTAAAGATAATGTGCTGGATATGTAACATTAAGGTGACTTCCCACTACATTGATAATGAGTGGCGCCTCTCATCTTGTGCTACAGACCATCAAGATGACTTCAATCCAGTCAGCTGCAAGTATAGCCAATAGGTTGACTAAAGACATTAATGGGGGCTGACCAGCAAACACCCTGTAGTTGTTACAGACAACGCTGCAAATATGGTTTGTGCAGTGAAGATAATGCAGCTCATGCATGTCTGCTGTGTCCCTGCCGTGTCACGTCTGCTTGGTCGTGAGGCTTCACTTTTTTACAAACAAGTTTGCACTTTTGAGACAGTTTTTTTTCACATCTCAAGTTTAAACTGTCTGATTTACAAGTTTGCATTTTGTGTTTAATATGACAGGAAAAAATTAATTACATGAGTATTTTGAAACACAGTTGAACCGAAATTAATCGAATGATCGAATCGAAAGGAATAATTTAGAACGTATGAATCAAAATCGAATCGATTCAGGACTTTGGCCAAAATACCCAGCCATACATATAAAGGTACGATTAGTTAATGGTAAAATGGTGATGCATTCAATCTCCCTACAAAGGAGCTTCTCATAACTTTTATGTTAACCAACCCTGCTGCAGCAAGTGATCCTGCAGACAATTATGGCTCTTGACGTGCATTAGTTTAAACATTTACAATTGCATACATGAGAAAAAATGAAGGCGGACACTAAACATCTTGGATCACTTTAAGGGTTTTTTAGTAAGCACACAGTAAATTTTGCAGTGTTAAAGTAACATTTTAAGAATGCATTTGGTCCCATTCAGAATTAGTGTTAAATTAGAACTCTACATAGCGTATATTTTACTTCAGTTGTTGTTGTAATAACTCTAAAGGAGTCAATGTACTTGGTCGCTGCATATTTAAGAGTGTGGAATTTACTGTGCATTCTTACCGCATCCATTGTCTAATCTTCATTGAGAAGTAGAGAAATTATTCTGACAGCATGTTCAAGATAAAAATATTTGACATTTTGGTGTCGATTTCAGTTTGAATCAGTTTTATGTTTGTCTTTTCCTCTGTTCATTAAAAAAACGTTTGTTTTTTATTTTGGGGGGGTGGGGGGTTATGCTTGAATTTGACAAAGATACAAGGATACAATACTTTTTGAGATAGGATTTCTTACAAAAAACAACCAAAACATTATTGTTTCACAGCTAAGTTCGAAAAATCAATCGTCAGGTCATCCATTATTCATAGCTCTTTGGATCTGGTCTTTATGGAGATGCGGCAAAATGCTGTGGGAAACTAACACTCTGTATCATCAAAGTGTTGAAAATTGATGTTCGCAGACACTCTCCACCCAGCCTTAGTGAGCTTGAGCAATTGTGTTAGAAATAATGAACAAATATCTTTTCTCTAGGGCTTAAAATAGATACACACTTAAAAACACATTACTAAAATATTTCTCAACACTGTTTCGTTCCTCTTTACCATTATCCACTAGTTTTTATCTGTCATATGTACTATATGAACCCGGAATACAAAGTATTAAAGTCTCTAGTAACATAAAAAAACGTTTCCATACTTAGGTATGTTGTCTGGAAAATGTATTGGAATTACCTGTTCTTAATCGGAACATATCGTTTTAGACTCTGAAATATAATATTTTCCTAAAAATTTACTTTGATTAAGAGCAGCATTAAAATAATAGCAACATTCTTTATTTCTGTATAATTTAATTTGAAAAAAACAACAACTAACTTTTACACCTAACTTCTTATTTGTCTTGTAGGAAAGGACTGGGATAGCTTCCTCTTTCCAATGATCACCTAACCACCCTTCAGCCTGTGATTACTGTTCCTTTGAGGCACAAGAGCTCTTCCTAAACTCAGGTTATTTCTCAACCTGTCACATAAAGAGCTTGTGGACTGCAGCCAGACTCTGTGGAGATGGGACAAAACAAAGGGATGTACCAGGTGGACGCTGATTGAGAGAAGTGCTTCTAACCCTTATGTTGGTTGTTTTACAAAAGTTGAACAACATGCAACTGCTGAGCAAGCTTTGAACGTCACCATACCTCTAGGAACTACCACTTTCTCACATATGCTGACGTGGGCTTACAGTAGCCACACATTTCTGTGTGTATGTTTGCTTTACAGCATCTTGGCAAGTATCTAAACACAAGAGGGAGCGTCGGGTCTTGCCTCATTTGCCGGAGAGGATTTGTAGAGAACATCCTTCTGTTTCCGCATGCAGAATATCCTTGATCAGAACTTAGACATGGCCACAGCGCTACTTGCTGGCGAGAAGCTGAAGGAGCTTATCATGCCAGGCTCCTCTCAGGATGAGAAGGGTGGGGCACTGGCTGGCCTTATGGTGCAGCTCAAACTGGAGCTGCCATTTGATCGGGTTGTTACTATAGGGACAGTCATCATCCCCATCCTGTTGGTCACACTTGTCTTCACAAGAAACTTTGCAGGTGGGTGGCTCAGCCACTAGAGGGGGTATGTGTTAAAGTGACAACAAAAGTGTTTCTTTTTTAACATACTCTTTTTGACAGTTCACAAGAACATGTCTGAGTTTACATACAATGTCTCACAAAGCATTGAAAGAAAGTCTGATATTTTGTCATGTTACAACCACAAACTTTAATTTAATTTGACAGGGTTTTAGGTAATAGACCGACTCAAAACAGTTCATAGTTGTAAAGAAGAAGGGACATATTTCAAAGTCAAAAAGATATACAAGAATTTTGGGTAATTTTCAAGCCCCTTTACACAGTTACTCCACAATACAATTAGCACAACCAGATGCCTTAAGAAGAAACCTCTTTAGAATCCATAGGTGTGCATGACCACTTTTTCTACAATTACATTGTAAATGCAAGCATGGCCACGGGAAGTGGGGGTACTGAGGGTGCTGCACGATCCCCTAGTGGCGAGAGGGAGATTTAAAGAAAATGTTTTAAAAATACTTTGCACAATTTATACATTTCTTATGAATATTTTGGGAAATGATTTTGCCTTATTTATTTTACTATTATATGTGTACTTGGATTTTAATTTTATTATTTTGAGGCCTAATAAACACAAGTTCATGGAAGTTACATTGTCATGGCAACATCAAGCAAGCTAGAGCGTGGTATCCCGCTTGCAGCAGCAGACTAGTAAATTTACATAGAAACGAGGAGGAAATATAGCACAGAAACGCATTTCGGATTTGTCGCTTATGAATGATTTTCTCTCTACGACCTCAACATTTGGACACCTGTAAAAGGGCAGGGCACCCTGCCTGTAGCCCTGCCTGTGGCTCAATTCGCACTATTCATGCAGTTTAAAGTATCCATAGTATTTTAGAGTTTTTTTTTGGTCTTGTGTTCTTTGTGTAATGGAGAACTGTTCAACAACGTTTAAATAGTATAATAATATAATTATTTCCTTTGGGTTTGCACTTGTGTGACATAAACACAGTGACTCGGGTTCATGCCAGCTGACCAAATCTACATTGTTATAATGTTATTGTGAAGTTGAATTAATAACTTATACATTCACCTGAGAACTGATGAGGTCTGTGTGTTACAGACCCTGGTGGCGTGCACCGAAGTTTATATGACAATAAAGTAGTGAATCTCAATCTATTTACTTATTTATTTTTATTTTATTTTAAATAGGCCTATAGGTTCATTTTCTAAAAAAATAAAAAATAAAAAAATCACAGCACCCCTTGTTCAAAAGTACTTCCAACGGCCCTGGCCACAGGGCATGTGTAAAATGTTGCCTACAGTATTTAATATCATACCACTGATATCTGGTCATTTATCTTTGCAGAGAGCTCAAGCTTAATTAATATGTTGTAAAAATATTATTATTGTTGTTATTATTATTAATAAATCCATAGATTATTTATTAATACATTATTATCAATTCATAATCATAATAGATACATGGAATTAATATGTGTTCATCTAAAATATTCAATTGCTGCTCTGGATGTTTGTGAAGAGTTAAATATCCCCTCCATTCTCATGTCTTCTTGCTGCCTATGATTGATAGTTTTTCTTCCAGCATTGTCTTTTAGTTAGCTCCCTCTGCTTTCTCTGGAGAGCCTCCCCACAGCATTTCTTAATACGTAGGTGTTTCTTTTGGTTTTCTCTTGTGTTCCCCTTTGAGTTTGTGGTTAGAAAACATATTATTGTATATTTAGTTGTTAAATACTTTCATTACTGTTTTAATATATTTTGTGTTCTTTCATATATAAATTGATTTATACTCTTTTATTCTAATCTCAGGATTTTCCCTTTTGGTTTAAAGAACCTCTTGGATTTTAGTTTAGCTCCCTATCTGCCAATTACTCCCGCTCTCTCAGTATTCCTGCTTTAATTCTTCAAAAGCTGTTCCAGTTAGCTCATTTGTTTTGTATTTTACTCTTGCTGGGTTCTGTAGTTGCTCTGCTATGTCCCATGTTCTTTTTTACCTGTGGGATTCCCTATAAGATTTATTATCTTTTATTAAAACCTCTGTTCTTTTCATAGTCATTCTCTGCATATGGGATAAACATGACACAGCATAATTCTTAATACACATTGTTGAACCTTGGGGATATTTTATAGGGGTCTGTATTCTATTAAGTTTTCCAACAGCATTTTGAGTACCTACATAATATCTAGTTTTGCTCTCATTAGACCACCTTTGTACACATGTTATCTCTGCCCTCTACAATACTTGCAACAAACTACAAATTAACTGCTCAAGACTTTGTTTTAACCATGGGCCTCTTGGCTGCTTCACTGATTAGTACTGTCCTTACCCAGCCTGTCATTTTACATTAACAATCATGTCTTTGTGGGTTTGCAGTTGTTCCAGTGTATTTCTATTTTTAATATTGATTGAACTGTAGCCTACAACACCAGATATTGAAGCATGTAGAATTGTTTTATAACCTAAAGCTGTTTTGAGCTAACATCATTTTGATTTATCTGTATGCATTGTTCCATGATTTTCTTGATTCTTTTTGTTCACTAATGCTTTCTAACAAACCTGCAAGGACTTTATAGAACAGCTATCTCTTCTCGTTGTCTTCCGCTTTATCTGGGAATGGGTTGCCCTACGATAGACTGATGACCTGTCCAGGGTGTACCCCGCCTCTTGCCCATTGACAGGTGGAGATACGCACCAGCACCCCTTGCGACTTCACCCGGGATAAGTGTGACGGAAAATGGATAGATGGGCTCAGGTGCAGCAGTCTCAGCAGACACTACAAGACTTCCCACTCTACAGACAGATTGTCCAGCTCTGCTGGGGGAAGCCTGAGGTTCTCCCAGGCCAGCTAAGAGACTCTCTTGTCCTGGGTGTCCTGGGTCGTCCCCTGGGCCTCCTCCCGGTGGGACATGCCTGAAACAGCTCATAAGGGGGGCATACAGGGGGCTTCCCGAAAAAGATGTCCATGCCACCTCAGCTGACTCCTTTCGATGAGAAGGAGAAGCAGCTCTACTCCAAGCCTCCCCCAAATGACCAAGCTACTCACCTTATTTCCAAGGGAGAGCCCAGCCACCCTGCTGAGAAAGCTATTTTCGGCCACTTATATCTAGGATCTCGTTCTTTTGGTCATGATCCAGAGGGTAGGGACGTAGAAAAGTTTTGCCTTTTTTCTCAGCTCTCTCTTAACCATGACAGACTGATGCATTATAGTAGCAGCCACATACTATTTTGTGTTGGTCTAACATCACTTCATATAAAATTGGTTGCAGCATAAAATTGGTTGTATCATAATGGTTATGGTAAAATATAACATTGTTTCAGAGTGTTTGACTGTATTTAAGGTGATGTTTACATGACCAGTTTGTTTCTGAGAAAATTCAAACAAAGTAGTTTTGATGATGCAAAAAATGTAATATTTTGTTGAAAGTAGGTTTAAGAAGGAGTTTGGCCAAAATACAGTTTAAAATCAATGACTGATGCAAATGCTAGCTTGATGCTGAGTCAGGCTCTCAGCTGCAGTGTTTATTCAGCTGGGAATGAAAATGAAGCAGCAGAACAATGTGGGAGTTCAGACAGTCTAAGGATTGACGGTATGCCTGGTATAATTCTGGAAAGTATTAGAGTTAGAGACCAAAAAAAAGCTATTTCATTTAAAAAAATCTTAAATGTCACAAAGATAAACATAGACCAAATTAAACTTTGAATTTCAATGTATTGTTAACATGGGCAGAGAAAATGTTTGGCAGACCATAATTCTTAGGTTCTCTTTTTGAACATGAAAGATATGTATTATATCAAAACGCAGAATGTCTCTGGTTAAGGTTTTAGTATTCAGCAGATGAATGACACAAAAATGCTCAGAGCTATAATATGATCAGAGAAAATAGCCATTTGTCATTTTCATAAAAATCTAAACAAATCCTTCAAGAAAATGTGAATTTCAGAGTAGAACTAAATAAAAGACCGGCACTTTAAACATTTGTATTATCCATATGCAATATTTTTCCAGTGGTTATATTACTTTATACAGACTTTGATGTACACTATAGCATGATATTGGTACTTTACTGTTTCAGCTCAAACATTTAAGTATCATAATAAATCAGAAAATATATATTGACCCAAATATTTCTTTTCTTTTTTCAGAGGAATCTATATACTGTTACACACCGCACAACTTCACCCGAGACCAGGCACTTTATGCGAGGGGCTACTGCTGGACAGAGCTTCGTGATGCTAATCTTGGAGTGGACCTGTTTGAACATAAATTCCTGCCCTATGCCCTCCTTGCCTTTGCTGGGATCATGTACATTCCTGCCTTAGGTTGGGAGTTCCTTGCCTCTACGCGGCTAACTTCAGAGCTCAATTTCCTGCTTCAAGAGATTGATAACTGCTACCACAGAGCTGCTGAGGGCAGAGCCCCCAAGATTGAGAAGCAGATTCAGTCCAAAGGCCCTGGTATAACTGAACGGGAAAGGAGAGAGATTATAGAAAATGCAGAGAAGGAGAAAAGTCCAGAGCAAAATCTTTTTGAAAAATACCTTGAGAGACGAGGCGAAAGTAACTTTTTGGCTAAGATTTACCTAGCTCGCCATCTAGCTATCATGTGCCTCAGTTCTATTCCCATTTCCTACCTGAGTGCATACTATGCACGGCAAAGGCAGAATGAGTTTACTTGTTCACTAGGCCAGCCCCCAGACATCAGCAGCTACCCAGAGTTGAAGCTTAATGTCAACTGCAAGCTCCCTGCTGTGCAGCTGCAACGTATCATGGCTGTGGTGGACTTAGCCCTGCTATGTACTATGAACTTCATCATCCTGCTTAACTTGTTGCATTTGTTTGTGGTGCGCAAGTCTAATTTTGTGTTTGACAAACTTAATAAAGTCGGGATCAAGACAAAGCGACGATGGCAGAAGTCTCCGTTCTGTGACATCAACATTCTGGCCATGTTCTGTAATGAGAACAGGGACCACATTAAGTCTCTCAACCGACTGGACTTCATAACTAATGAGAGTGATCTCATGTATGACAATGTGGTCAGGCAACTGTTGGCTGCACTTGCACAGTCCAACCATGACGTCACACCTACTGTGAGGGAATCTGGGATACAGACCATTGATCCCAACATGGACCCTTCAGATATTGGGGTAGGAGAGATAGCTGGGGAGCCGCTGGTCATCAAACGTCCCCGAAAGAAGATCAAATGGATACCAAGCTCAAACCCTCTTCCTCAGCCATTTAAGGTAAGGCAGTCACTGTTGAACACAACTCACATTTTTCTTGTATTTCAGAATTCATTGAACATCACCATACCAACATTCTAATTGGGCATAAATGCAGCTACTATTGAAAACGAATGAAGAAGTATCATTGAAACTATTTTACAGAACAATATAGATCAACATGCTCTCAGCTCAGGAAACCTTTGCTTTAGAGTCCATTAAAAACTTATGAAATGTGCCTGAGGTTCCTAACTGTTGTTTTTGGCTCTTGAAATAGGAGCTATTTAAACAATAAAAAATTCACCTCTTCTCTGTCTGCTAATCAAGGAGCCGCTCACTATGACCCGCTTGGAGAATAACACTAAGCCTGAAAAGCCCAAACCACTCAGACGGAAAACCATGGCAGACAGCCTCATTGCACCACTGCTGGACAGTAAAAGCACACAGCATCCTTCAACTAAAGGTATTCTGTCTTCTGTCTATGACATGACAAGAGCAAATTTATGGTTCTCCACAATTATCTGAATCTCTGATATAGATATGCAACAAGCCTATACCAAAAACATATCACGCTTATTTGCAGTAGTATAATATCCAATCAAAATTTTAAAAATGATCATTTAATTGGGGAAAACCCACAAATTTTCCAAGCATTTTTTTACCTTTAAAAATACATTATGTAAGTTTTTAATTTAAAAAAATATGTTATAAATAGACTTTATATTTGACCCTTTACTAATTAAACATTATTTGATGAGCAGGTGGACACCTCAGTTGTTAAGTGTCTGAGGTGTCCACCTGCATCTGTTAGCTTGTAGCATATATTCCTGAATTTACTTCAGGTCGAAAGTTCCCGCGCTATTCAGCAGCTGTAACTTAAGGCTGTTCAATGGGTTAGACCTTGCAAACAATCTAAGCGTTAAATTGAAGATGGATTTTGTGGATACCCAGAAATGACTCAGTTCTCCTCAGACACCAAAGGCAAGTCAATGTAGGTTAAAAAAAAACAACCTTGTCAAGTATGAGCACGAGCTATGAGAACAAACAGCAGAGTGCTGCAGACCTGTGTTTTGGCTTAAGGGGGCAGTATTATTAGAAAACCTCGGAATGCCTCTTTAAATGGACAAGTTTAGCACTTTTCATTAGTTATCCATGCCTTCCAATTTTCATAAGGCTCTATTACCTTAGATATACTTATAATGGGATTCAACTAAGGTTGCTGATCTTCATAAGTCACTAAATAAGTTCTTAATATTACTAAAATCTGAGCAAGAATTTTAAAGTACATCTAAAAATGTAAAAATTAACACAGGATAGGAACCTAAACTTATTTTGTCATAACTTACAGTTTTAATCAGTAACAGAAGTAAAAAATAAATGAATAAAATTCCATGACCTCTTGTTTGATATTTGTACTAAGGAATGACATCCTAGAGGTCACCAGGTCTACCTTATGGTACATTTTCACCAGTGGCATTCAGATTCTTTTTAAACCAGACAGCTTTTTTTTCTAATCTACAGACATCAGTGGAATGGAGAAGAAACATGCACGAAACCTGTCTCTGGATATCCACCCGTACATGCTGACAAGCCGCAAGCCAAAGGTGGAGGTCTCAACCGTTGAACCACTACCATCAGAACACAACATGGATACTGTTTACCTAGAAGGCACTCACACTATTGTTCATGTCTCCTGTGCCATGACAGGTATGCCCTACAATAGGTTGTTGCTGATACTGGATTAACATTTATTAGAACATTCTGAATGTGAAGTTCAACTCATGACTTTTATCTTTTCAGAGCCTAAGATTAGTTCCCCAGTATCAACCACTGCTGCCTTTTCTACAGTAACTCTGCCCTCCACTACATATGTGAATGGAGTGAGCCCCAACCCTCCCTCTAGTGAAGACGCACTCAGTCCCAAGTCATCCCCTGCACTTATGGAGCCTCTTGCTCCAGCTGACAACACTGAGCCACCTCTCCTGACCAAAGTCCCCACAAGCAAGCTACGGAACATTCATCACACCCTTTTTGAAGAAGAAGAGGATGAAGAAAATAGGAGAGGCCGGTTGGGAGAAAGACCTGGGGAGCTCATTGCTGCTGGAGAATGTTGAAAAGTACACCATACACTCAACAAAAGTATAAAAGCCACACTTTTGGTTTTGCTCTCTTTTTTTATGAGGTTGACTCAAAGATTTAAAACTTTTTCCACATACACAAATTTACAATTTCCCTCAAATATTGTTAACAAACCAGTCTTAATCTGTGATAGTTAGTACTTCTCCTTTGCTGAGATAATCCATTTATATCACCATGATTAGTGCAGAGGTGCGCCTTAGAGTGCCCACAATAAAAGACCACAATTAGGTGCAGTTTTGTCACACAGCACAATGCCACAGATGTCGCCATGGATGATGGAGCATGCAATTGGCATGCTGACAGCAGGAATGTCAACCAGAGCTGTTGTTTGTGTATTGAATGTTAATTTCTCTGCCTTAAGTCATCTCCAAAGGCATTTCAGAGAATTTGCCAGTACAACCAACCAGTCTCACAATTGCAGACCACGTGTAACCACACCAGCCCACGACCTCTACACCCAGCATGTTCAACCTCCAAGATTGTCTGAGACCAGCCACTTGGACAGCTGCAGAAACAATTGGTTTACATAACCAACGAATTTCTGCACAATCTGTCAGAAACCGTCTCAGGGAAGCATATCTGCATGCTTGTTGCCCCCATCGGGGTCTCCGTCTGACTCCAGTTCATCGTCATAACATACTTGAGCCGGCAAATGCTCACATTCACTGGCGTCTGGAACGTTGGAGAGGTGTTCTCTTCACAGATGAATCCTGGTTTACACTGTTCAGGGTAGATGGCAGACAGCGTATGTGGCCTTGTGTGGATGAGCGGTTTTCTGATGTCAATGTTGTGGATTGAGTGGCCCATGGTGGCGATGGGGTTATGGTATGGCCAGGCATCTGTTATGAAAGGAAAAAAATAGGTGCATTTCATTGATGGAATTTTGAATGCACAGAGATACTGTGACGAGATCCTGAGGCCCATTGTTGTGCAATACATCCAAAAACATCCCCTCTTGATGCAGCAGGATATTGCATGGCCCCGTCTTCCAAGGATCTGTGCACAATCCTTGAAAGCTGAAAACATGCCAGTTGTTACATGACCGGCATACTCACCGGACATGTTACCCATTGTGCTTGTTTAGGATGTTCTGAATTGGCGTATACGACAGCGTGTACCAGTTCCTGCCAATATCCAGCAGCTTCACACAGTCATTGAAGAGGAGTGAACCACCATTCCACAGTCCATTTGGCATCCTGTTCAACCCTATGTGAAGGAGACGTGTTGCACTTCCCACCAATAAAATAAAACTGTACCTTTCAGATTGGCCTTTTATCATGGGCAGTCTAAAGGCTGATTTATACTCAGAAACCAGGTCATCTGTGTGTGTTCCACAGACACTCTGGTGCACCTCTCCGAAATTGTAGGTGACTGCAGACAGTGTTGCAGACATGAGGCCTCTGATTGGTCAAATCTACATCCCCTCACAAATATGCATATTTCCTGTTTGGTATCTTACTGGCTTGTTCAGGTTATATGACCGCCATTGTGGAATACGACTCGTGAAGATCAACTAGCTAGAAGAGCAAGGTGCGCAAGAATGCTGAGACCTGGATCCCCGCTCTTTTTCACCCTCATGTCCCTCCATTGTTGCACAAACTTACCCCTTGTATTTTTCCACTTCCTCACTGCCTTGGCCATATCTAGACCCACAGCTAGTTTGTGATTGTCCCTCTTGTGTTGTGCCGTGGAATGACATAAGACCATCCTTCAAAATTGGACATAAATCAAAAATATCTGCGTCATACCTGCGATAAGCTCACTGCGACACACTGCTGCAGGAGTATAACCAGCCTTTAAGGCACAGCTGTGCACTATTCATGGTGTCTAATCAGCATCTTGATATGGCACACCTGCGAGGTGGGATTGATTATCTCAGCAAAAGAGAAGTGCTCACTATCATAGATTTAGACTGCTTTGTGAACAATATTTGAAGTAAATGGTTATATTGTGTATGTGGAAAAAGTTTTAGATCTTTGAGTTCTTCTCATAAAAAATGGGAGCAAATCCAAATTTGTTGCTTTCATATTTTTGTTGAGTGTACTTCAGAACTGTGTGATCACAAATGCAACAATCCCCTATTTCTCATCTCCTTCTACTCATATCAATTCATGTGACTGGTGTCCTGGGCAGCAGAATGCAAGAGAATGATAATGGCACAGACATGATCCTTGTTATATGAAAAAAAAAAAAAAAATTTCTGGATGACAAAATATGTGATTTGTTGAAGGAAATGATGTCATCTTCATGCCTCAGGATGACCTTGCTCAGCTTTCACCCACCAATGAAACCAGCAGCGATAAATTATAAAACAGGGTGCTAAAGAGCAGGGTAAACACCTATACTTAAAAAAGGCACAAGGTGAAGAAACATGTTAAGATTTTTAAAATTAAAAAATGAAAGACACCTCCATATCCCCTACAGACTCCAATATGGCTGGAAAGAAATTTCTTTAGAACACATACTAGGACTTTGTCCCCTAATCCCTCTAGCTGAGTAGACACGTAGCTCATGCAATACAGCTGTTGAGATCTGCACAAATAATATGCAAATGTTCACTATATATATGTGGCAATAATGTATGCGCTTTGAGCATATTACTTCACACAATGTTTTAACTTGGTATATGCTTCAAATCTAAAACATTTCATAGCTTTCCATTTTTAATTAGCAATACAATGGATACTTCACTATATGCACACATCCTTTATCAGTAAGTTAGCACATTATAGGATTGTAAGAGGGCTAAGAGTAGTAACACAGGTATAGTGCCTTGTAAAAGTACTCATATCTTTGGACATTTTTTTTTCTCATGTTAGAATCTTAAACTTTAATTAAAATTGTATGCCTTGAAACAACCCAAAGTAGTGGATGGATTCTGATAGAAACCTGTTTAATTTATTTATACATAATATAAATACAACAGGTACTATGGGAAGTTATTTAGACCCTGAAGTGAATCATTTGTAAGACCACCTTATGCTGAAGTCTATTATTTATTAGCTTATTTTATGCATCAACCAACAAATTTTTTTTCTAAAGCATTATTCTTTGCAAGATAACTCAAACTCAGCCAGACTGCACAGTGTCTTAGGACATGTATTTTTAAGTCTCTTCATAATTTTCTAATTTCAGTTAGGTATGGGCTTTTGCAAGGGCCATCAGATTTTACCGAAACATTCTAGTTAAGTTCTAGCCATATGTTTTGATTTTCTTGCCTTTTAAAAGGTGAACCACTGCCCCAGTGCAAAGTCTTTGCTAATTTTGTTCAGTTTTTTTCTCTGTATCTATCCACAGTCCCATCATGACTAATAATTGACCTGTTGGCACATTCTCCCACCTGAGCTATAATTAACTGTAGCTCTTACAGAGTTGCTACAGACCTCTTGTCTGCTTCTCTGTGCATTGCTCTTTATGATTATACCTCAATCTTATTTTTAGATGTTGTATTGTGAAGTGCTTCGTGAGATGTCCAAAGGTTATTTTAAACCTAACACTAATATTCCATAATCTGATTAATCTCCTGATCTGTGTCAGGTGTGTCCAACTCTTGAGAAAGGCCATGCCTTTCAGAATAGATTTTCAGAATAAGAAAATTTAATGACATCCTTCTCCCTTTTACGTACTTGAAAATCACCCTGCATTGTTCCTTCACATAAAATCCCAGTAGATACATTAAGGTTAGTTTGATAAAATGTGTAAAAAGGTATGAATACTTCAACAAGGCATTGTGTAGTGTTAATAAACAAGTTATCGGGAATTTAGAAAAATGTTGGTGGGCTCCTGAAAATTTGGTGATCAGCTCATTTTAAAGGAAGAAGCTCAACTATGTTGTTGAGGTGGTTTGATGTAATGTAAACAAAACAATGTGCTATGTGGTAAATTGTACTTTTTGAATGGGTTATTGCAAAGATGAGTAAGCTATACTCTGTTTGATCCTCTGACACAATCCAAAAACAATCTTTCTGTAAATTAAATCACAAGTAGTTAGAATATATATTTATAATATTCATAGATTAAAAACTAGCATATAGATATGCACTTACCATACGCCTTTTTTTCAAAGAATGTGTTACATGTGCACACCACAAACTTTCTTGCACAAAAGATTACAGGAACTTCAATAAAGGAAGTTTAATACTTAGTGACACATCAGCATGACATTTGTTGCAGACATATTACTTTATAGGGCCTACAGTGTAGATCCACCTACATATAAAACTTGCATCAAACATAAACACTGTGGCTAAAGTCTTTTTCACATTAGCTAATTATCATACGATTGTCTTGAGGCTGCCTCGTTATAATACGCACATTAAATGCATCCACAAGCACTTTAAGACTAGAACCTTTAATGAGTTCAAAACGCATTTTTTCTGTTGATTTTCACATTATAGCTGACTCAGAGCAGAACCTCTGATAGTGAAAGGTTACTGCATAAGGTACAGTCCAGACTTTGATTGTACCTTGTGAAATGTCACAGAAAAAACACAAATAAAAAAGTTTTCCTTAAAAAAACTGATTTGGTCGTAAATGCCTACATGTACCATAATGCACCGCGGCTGTCAGTGTTAACCAACTGAGTGCTACTCTGCTGCATTAGCAAACACCAGTGGGACAGACGGGCCCCGGTTGGCTGGCTTTGTAAGTAACATGTTTTATATAACATCTTTAGGAGTTGCTTGAGTCAGAAAAGAAGTTAGATGCATTTTAATATTGTTTTGGTTGTAAATAAACTTTGTGTGTCGATATTTTATCGAACCAGCTAGCGTATGTTAGCTTTAAGTTAGCTTTATCCAGAGAAAGCTAGGGAAACAGTGAAGTTCTCAATAAGTGTTTGCATGCGCTGCAGCAGCAGGCATTTATAAAAAAAATGTATAAACAGCCTTGACTATATTATTGCTTTATTGTAGGTCACCCCTCGCACTCATAGCGATATCGTGTGATATTGTAATATGTGTGTGATTAATTCTGTTAGGTCTGTTACAGTCACCACTTTCAACAGCAACATGTTCTGCGTTGTAAGCGGTAGCAACCTTTAGCTAAGCCGGTAGTTGTTGTGTTGCACATAAAGCAACGTCAGCAGTCAGTGCGTGTCCAACTGTCAGTGAACGCCTCACCGCAGTCCGCCCTCTGTTTGTGTACAGAGCTGCACCTCGATGTGAGCCGTTCTCATTCCTCTTCTCTCTGTTGCACTTAGTTTTCGATTCTCCAATCATGGACGAAGACAAAAAACCTGAGGTGAGGAAAGAAACAAGCTTGTTTAAAAAGGTATTTGGTTATATCAAGTTCTTACAACTACATAGATACTTAGGTTCCGTCAAAAAAAATATTTCTCAATCTCCAATGATCTGGCAGTGTTCATCTTTCTCAATACAGAAGGTTTTTCACGAGGAATCTCTTAATCTTTAGCAGGACTGAACAAGCCATTAAGTGATGATGATGTGTCTGTTTTGTTGTTTCACAGGATCATTTAGTGGCTTCTAATGCTTCAGAAGATGAACCACCCTGTATAGCTCCAGGAATGGGTATGCTATAGTTTTTAAGTCTTTTTTCGTGTAAGTTATACATTTACTGTGTTGCAAGAGTGTTCCCTATTGATTCAGACACTCTGAAAACTGCATAACATGTTGGTAGGCATAAGATAGAATCAGTTTTTTTTAGGAATACTTTAATACTGTGCCTACTGTATGTAAAACACTTTAAGACAGTCAGCAACTGAAACAGTTCTGAACATAGCTGCAAGCTATAAAGCATGCTTAGAAAAGAACAAGACTATATGAATCAGGAACACTTAAAAATAATAAAACCAACTGAAAACAAACAAGGTCAGACTAAGTCTGACCCATGAATGAAGTTAGATTTTAAGCCTAGTTTTTAAAATCAAAGCCAACTCTCGCTGTTGGGTCGGTAGTGCATTTGTTCACCTGCCTAAAAGCGCTCAGGATGAGTCGATGACAGAGTATGAAATGCACAAGCTTCTCTTTTTCATGGTGCGTTTCTCATATTTGTGCAGATAGGGAGCTAAATGTGTTTAAAAAGGACTGTTTCTCTGGAGTTATGCTGATTAAAATCCAGTGCATTGGTCTAATTTCGGTGTTAATTTGACAGCTTTCAGTGTAACCAATATTTGTGCTGAGATGAGTTGGATAGAGCCCTGCGAAGGGAGCCTGAAAGTTTGTCAAAGCGACAATGCATTCATTAAAAAAAAGGCGTAGAGACCTGTAGAAGCCCCCTATGTTCAAATACGCTGGTGCCATCCCTGCACTGTTGGAATCTAATGGCTCTGTTTGCAGTATGGCTGACAGGATTTTTTTTTATTCCTGGGAAAAATGATTTCTATAGCTTGATGGAATTGTGTCGTAATACATAACATTTGGCATCTCCATCTATCCCTCCAATGTCTTCCTCATGTCCCTTCTTCTTCTTTTGAAATTATTGGAATACTCTTTTCAAAAAATGCAACCAGAAGCATGTTTCAACCCAACATAAAGCTATGTCTTGCTGTTCAAAATGTATCTAAAACATTATGTATAAAGGCCAAACTAAATTGACCTACTACGTTACTACTATATATTATAGTATATTTCCTCTTTGTCAGACTGCAATTAATTATGCTTTGATCAGAAGAGAGGAATATACATTTTTGGAAATCAGAAAGGCGTTAAAAACAATATAAACAAGTTTAAAAATAGAAATTAGACATAAGACAAGCTATGTAATTTCTGATCAGTACTGTTTTTGTTCATATAAACATTTTAACTGTTATATACATTCATATAAATAATATTTCATTATATATTTTATTTAGATCATTAGATGCCAGAAAGTTTTACTTCTGTGAATTTTATTTTTATTTTAACACTTATTGCTTTTTATAAACAGGTCTCCCAGCTTGAATCTCAGTGAGATAGCCTATATAAATAATGGATAAATGAAATAAAATTATTAATAACAACTTATTTAAAATTAAATATTTTAGTTTGAGATAATGAAACTTATTGAAGAAAAACATGTATTAAAAGTGTTTACATATCTTTGGCTGGTTTGCCCATAATTGTGTGAGGTTGCTTGGTATAAGAATAAATCCAACAGTTTGTTTTAGTCCTCTAAACCAGGGGTCTTCAACGTTTTCGAGGCCAAGGACCCCCAAACTGATTGCGAGATGGAGCGGGGACCCCCTTATTATATATATTGTATGGAATTGTGTTACGGTATATCAAACTGGTCCTATAGTCACTCTGTTACATATGGAGTCATGTAATGAAAGTCATTTCTCGCTTGGATTATTAAAGTTTTTCTGATTCTGATTCCTGGTTGATGGGACAGGTGTTGTGAATGGAACGGTGCCCAGTTTTAAAGAGCTCCTGTGTGTCGCTGAATGTGTGCATTGATGACTGACAGACATCTTCTGTTTTCATTTAACTGTTTACTACAGTCTGTTGAATTCATGTTAATGTGGATCTAAAGACATTTTAATTAGTGCAAAAAATTGCAGTTGGGAATATAAAAAAAAGTAATCAACCAAGACTTTCGCGACCCCCATGCAGTACCTCCGCGGACCCCCTGTTGAAGACCTCTGCTCTAAACTGTACCACACATGACCACACTGTCTTCACTCATGATTCGACATTGTTAGACAATGTGATGTTGCTGTTCGTTTAGCAGGTTAAGTTACAAAAATGTTAACATGTCATTGAGTTATCTTGTTAAACCGTAGAAGATATAGGTACAGTTGGAGCTCAAAACATTAGATTACAATATTGTAAAAAGTCTGTAACTTATTTTGGAAAATGAAACTCGTACAAAGATTTGTTATACAGAGAGTGAATTATTTAAAGCTTTTTTACTCCTTTTCTTTACATTATTATTATATTTATTTCTATGCACTCCATGCTTGATTGGGGCTCTTTTTGTATCATTTACTCTATCAATACAGCAAGCCATGACTGTTGCAATGCTGATGTCTAATGAAGCTCAGGCTGCTTTGATGGCTGCCTTCAGTTCCTCTGTATTGTTCAATCTTGAGTCTCTTCTTCTCATCAATATCCTATAGATTGTCTATGGGGTTGTCTCCTGGATAAATGTCAAGTCAGCAGTCTACCCAATGACTGTTTAATCTATTGAAACTGTGACTAAACAAACCTTTGCAGGTATTTTGAGATCATTTACTGATTAGGGTTCGACAGCATGAGTTCCCAACATTTGCTTTGGTTACAATTTTCTGATAAACTAATTATTGGTTTTAATTCTCCATCATAATCAACAAAATCCGCACAAAAATAAAAGGCTGGTATATTTCACTCTCTGTAATGTAAATAATGGAATAAGTGACAATATTCAACCTTTTTTCACACCATTCAAAGTTTAGATGTGTGTATTCATTATCACGTTGTCTTACTTCCTATTGGTTGTTTAATCAAATATCTCATCTTAACTGAAAGAATATCTGAAGATCTGTCCTTTATGTTGGAGTTATTTAGTGTTCATGTAACATGACAGTGTCAGTAATGACTTAAATGAGTATCTCTTCTGTCTGTTTAGCGGATGGTGAAACGTTAGAGATGCTCTGGCAGTTGCGAGCCCAGCGGCGCCAGAACTCCCCTGAGCTTCCAGAGACGGTGACCCGTCTTAATGCTCCCGACGGCAGCATCCTCTACTTGGTGGGGACTGCCCATTTCAGTGACAACAGCAAAAATGATGTGGCAATGGTAGGTTACATTTACTTTAAAGATTTGGTATGTTGTAAAGTGGCAGGCAAGTCAGTTGTGAATTAGCTAGGGCTGCACAATATATGAAAGATGTATTTATTATAACAGCTTATATGTTAGGAAAGCCACACAAAACTGCTCAAGATGTAATAAATTACTCACTTAAAAAAGATTTGTAATTTTTCCACTATGTCAGACTCGCCACCGTGAAAAAATTCCGTAAACATATTGCCAGAATGATTTAACATTAGGAGGACCACTTACTTTGATGATCCACCCCGAAAAGAACATCCTTCACTATACCTTTAATTAAGTCCATGTTGAATATTTTCACTGTCAGGGTTCATGATAATTAGATCAGAGAGCTAATTTAGTAAAGTCTCATCTTGATTCTTCTTTGCTCCTCAGCAGTCATTCTCCCTTTTTGTTTAGTACATATTTCTTTTCCGTTTGTCTCATTTTACCTTCTTTGGCTCTTATAGTGCCCTCATGTCTTTTGTCTCTCATCCACTGCTCTTTCTCCCCTTCATCCAGACGATCCGTGCCGTGCAGCCAGACGTGGTGGTTGTGGAACTTTGCCAGTACAGAGTTTCGATGTTGAGGATGGATGAGAATACGCTGCTGAAGGAAGCCAAAGACATCAACCTGGAGAAGGTTCAGCAAGCCATCAAGCAGGTTAGACTTGGAGACAGGATGAAGTTGAATAAAATTAAATAAAATTAAAATTTTAATGTTTATTCAGAGGTTTGTATTTGGAATGTGATTTAAAAGTGGGAAGGTTTCAGGGATATGAACACTTTTGCAGACAATTGGATAAATACTTTGACATTTCACTCATTAAATTAATTTAATTGGGTCAGTTAAGTAATGCCATATACCTTCAATAAGGTTCATATATGTACAGCACTACATCCCAATCATACTGTTATTTGCATGACTATCTCAAGCCATTAGTACTGATTGTATATTTCTATCAATGCTCCATCATAACTGTTTCGATTTCTATAAAATCTCTCTAATAAAATCTACGACATTGTCATTGTTTTATGCTTGTGTGACAATTTTTTTCCTGTCCAGTTAAATAATTTTTATAAATTAGCAGTAAACTTTTTTGGTTAGTATCCATCTACATGTATAGATATGAATACTACTAGTAGGTGTGATTATCCGTCTTTTTTGTGGTTCCAGTTAAGAAATATGCATAATTGGCCTTACAGGCATAAACTTCTCTTTGAATCTCTAAGTGCACCAAAAAAAAAAACCTCTTTGAGAGCTGCTAGTTTCTCAGGTTTCCTTTTTACTTCAGGCTCTGGTTCCCTTCCAGCCAAGATTTTACTTCCTCATACAGCCTGTTATCAAGTTCTGAAATGTATTGACGTTTTTATTTGTATTGTTCTTTTCCTCTGTCTGACAGAATGGGCTCATGTCCGGCCTGATGCAGATTCTTCTGCTCAAAGTTTCGGCTCATATCACACAACAACTTGGAATGGCACCTGGAGGAGAATTCAGGGAGGCATTCAAAGAAGTAAGTCGACCACAAACCTGTTTTACACAACTACCGTGCCATATCTAAGCCAGACACGATGTTGTAACTTCTAACTTGGGATGCGTCATCTGGAACAGCAATTCCTTGTCTGTGTCTTGCAGGAAGACAACAAATAGCAGTTTTGATAGATCAATCTTATCTTATAGAGGCTACTTAAAAATCCCCGACAAAGCAGAAAATATGACAATTTGAATTATCTGTGCACTCTTTACCTGTTTTTACAATCTGGAAGTATTTTTGTCTTGACAGGCAGGACGGGTTCCATTCTGTAAATTTCACCTTGGGGACAGGCCAATCCCAGTGACATTCAAGAGGGCCATAGCTGCTCTCAGTCTGTGGCAGAAGGCCCGTCTGGCCTGGGGTCTTTGCTTTTTGTCAGATCCAATAAGGTATAAATTCACTTTTTTTTCCCCCCTACATTGTATTGAATGCTTTCTTAATAACCTTTTATAATACTGCTTAATAAAGAAAAAAACTGCTTCTTTATCTGGATCCTTCAGTCTCACCAAAGTGACATGGAGACTTTCCATTTATTAAGTGGATGTAGGGCCAAAAAGCTAAGCATACAACATAATGTAATAACACCTAGTAATTTTATTCTGATTGCAGGATTGGTTTGTAACTAGAAATATAAGCATCTTAGATATGTTTATGTTCACTTTAGAGCTTAACTATTAGCACCAACATAATTTTAAGTAAATCTGGTAGGGTTTTAATAAGAGCTTGTTTGGTGTATCTGATTGATAAACTCATTATTTAAAGTGCCTGATTACAGCTTTAGCATTTCTATATCTAAGCTTTTTATGGCCTATCCTTGAAAGCTAAAAAGTGTAGTTTGAATTTGTATATTAACTTGCATCTTAAAATATATTTTGGCCTCATTTAAATCTTATGTCATTAAACACAAACAGAGTTTGTGTCAAGCACTTTAAAGTAAAGGCTTTTTCAAATATGTTTTTGTGAAGTCATCTTCTCAAGTTCTACCACTGTAGAGTACACCCTAAATTGCTCCATATGAGCTAAAAAAAAAAAAAAAGCACGATTGTATAACCTTCATCTAAGAGTAAAAACTGCTGAAATGTTTCAGTAAAGAGGACGTAGAGAAGTGCAAGCAGAAGGACTTGCTGGAGCAAACCATGTCCGAGATGATTGGAGAGTTTCCTGCTCTTCATCAAACCATTGTTGCTGAAAGGGACATCTACCTCACACACACCCTCCGCCAGGCAACACGCTGCGTGGAGTCGCCATCTGATGGCCAGAGTGAGTATTGCATTTAAAGATCTCATCACTTATGTATAAAGTAATCTAAACACATCAGTTGCTGGTATATTTGAATATATATTGAGGCTTTGAAAGAGCCCTAGCTCTGCCAGACTGGACTCGGAATGCTTTCAAGCATCATTACCATCATTACCCCATCTAAACACATAAAAGTGGTTATCATCTAAATGTAGCTGTATTTCTAGGAGAAGCTGAGCCTTTTCATCAGCATCATGGAGCTCTTAGAAGGTGTTCTCTAGACCTTTCCATCTCATTCAGAATAGCCCTTGACACCTGATATATCGAGTAATCCCCTCCTTGCCCAGTTCTTTTATTCCTTGAAGTTGAACATTTGGCATTCCTCTTGAGATGCTTTGTAGCCTGTTTTGTATTTCCAGGAGTTTGGACTGTATTTAACTCTCTGTCTCTGTCTCTTTCCTATCTAGAGAAAAGTATCTCCATAGCATGATGCTGATATTGCTGTATACAATGCTGTACATGCAGGCCAAAAGCTGAACCAGTTCTTTGTTTTTATGCTCTTACTGCAGAGCGGCATATATTTAAACAGTCTTAAACAAACCAGATTTGTGGACTACTAACTAAGTAGCAAACAAAGGTGAAAGCCATTTACTACTTAGGTTAATTTTGAAGCCAAAATGGATGCATTGAAATCCTTACAAATTTAAGCTACTTTTATTTTGCCCATACAAAGTATGTATTTTTTTTAGCTTTACATTAAATGAATAACAGAAGCATACTTTTTTTTGTTTTTATAGAAGTGCCTGCTGTGGTGGTTGGAGTGGTAGGAATGGGTCATGTCCCTGGGATTGAACAAAACTGGGAAAAGGAGCTCAACGTTCAAGAAATCATGACGTAGGTTTTTTACCTTTTAATCAAATACTAAGAATAATGGCCACAAGGGAAAAAAATCTATAAAACATGTTATTTTCTGCTTTATCTTTCCTCCTCAGTGTTGCACCGCCCTCACAGTTCAGCTGGGTTATGCGTGCTCTTGTAAAGGGCGTTCTGTTGGGAATGCTGGGATATGCCTGTTACCGTGCTGGAGGAGGTTTAGGTCGAACCCTGTTGTCTCTACCAGCAGTCCAGTCTTTACTGGAGAAACTTTGGCCTCATCCTGCCTGACCCCACTGGACCTTTTTAAGCCTTCTCTGACACAAGCTTTGATCTGTTAAAATAATGCATCTATCACCGATGGCCTTAAAAACAGGAGGTGAGGCTGGATGAACGAGTGCACCAGCTCACGCCTATAGGAACTGAGACGGACCTCACTGGGGTCAAAATCTCTTAACCTTATGATGTTTCCATAGACACTGTTGGAGTATACTGCCAAAGAAATCACAACTGTACCCTAATCCTTCAGTTTTGTTGTACATTTGGCATAATTTGCCTCCTAGTAGAAAAATAATATCCCTATTTTACCCAAGATTTAGATCATTTTAATTACTGTCCTTGGAAGCAAATAGTTATTTCCCTGGATATAATGGAACCCTTAACCTGAAAGAAGCCATTTTCTGTGTATCAAACAGATTGTTGGTAATTGGTCCAGCACTTTATAAGGTGAGTAGAAAGAAGGAAGTAACCTATACTGTTATTTAAGTATATATGGATTTAATAATTGCACAGCGGCTCGAACTAGACAGTCTATCATATTTTGTATGATCATTGAAGCATATTTCAAAAATATCAGCATGGTGCTGATCACCCACATTCAGGATTAGCAGAAGAAACTGATTGCTCTGTGTCCCAAACTATACAGCCAAGTGCCTCATGTTCCAGCTGGAAGGGCTACTGTGAAATCCAACCATGTTTGTTAGCTGCATCTAACAAAGCATTTGTGCAGTTTTAATAAGTCTTGTCATCTTGCAACTGAAATACTATTTTATAAAGAGAGGAGGTGAGGTTGATGTTGACTTTTTAAATGTTACCAAACTGCAACTTTTTTGTAAGAATATTCTAGAGACACTGATGCTCAGGAGGCCTAACAAAGCCTTACAAAAAAGTTAGATGATTTTTTTTTATTATATATATATATATATATACAATTTTCAATATAAGGTAATTAACTTTTGTGTTAATGTTCTTATAAAAAAAAAAAAAAAAAAGATCCTATAGGGAAAACCATAGTTTGAGGATGTGGCAGTCATTGCTTCAGCTGTCCTTATATATGCATTTATATTTATTGTAAAATCAGGAAACCAGATGATGAAAGTTGCTTTGTTTCCCCCCCTGAGTAAAGGAACACTCTGGTTTGTACATTTATAATTTTCATTATTTGGGATGCCAACAAAAATGTTGGTTGTGTTGGGAAGTGTAGCCTTACTTCATTATTACTTTTGCCTTTGACCCCTGACTGCCTCCTCTGCTAAAGCATATCACCAACCATGAGTCTACGGTATATTCTGGTACTGCATGTAAAACAAAAAGAGACACCCCTGAAGCAAAATGTTATGTCGGAGTGCAGTACTGCTAGTTCTCTAAACATATTTGCATGATTTTAATTCTTAGCAATATCCAGGTAATTTTAAGTGATCTTTGTACAGCAGATTTATTATTTACTGTAAGGGACGGGAAATGAGCTGCCTCATTAAACCTGTAAATGGGTCCAATTAATTTATATTGAATGTGATGTTCATTTTTTTAAAAGCAAAATTAAAACCTATTCAGTCTAAATGAGTTCAGGTAATGTGTCTTCCAAGTAATAAAAGGTTTAAAAACTGAAGGTCATATGCAGGTCAGATACTTTGCTTTATCTCATAAAAGTATACAATTGATGACTGTACGAGTATGAACACAGAAGGAATGTTTCTGTTTGTTTTAATGACCGTTTAGCCCATATCAATAATTTGTTTTGGCACTGTAAAGGTACCAAACACAGTCTTGTACAAAAAAGTAAAGGTAAACTATATTTGATTGAAAATGTGTACATTGTTCTGTGATTGGTCTAAGTGATTTTAAGTGGGAAGATGGTGACAACATCTATGTTATTAATCTAATTCTAACTGGCATAGATTTTGAAGGGAGGGTATCATTTCACTGACTTTTGGGAAGCTAGATTACCAGATAAATGTTAACTTTATACCCCATACATGCATTCATTAAACTGCTTAAAATATTAACTTTCATGACTGGCATATGAACTTAAGAGAGATACCATTATTAATCCACAGGATTTAATATGATTTACGTCTTCCCTTTGTAACTGAAAAAGTGTAAACTCTTCTAGAACTAGTGGTAGGAAAGAATGCCTGGTTGTCAATGTCCACTTATTTCACTTTAAAGGAATCTGCAATCAGGGCTGTGCAGACCAGTTCAGCTAATTCACTCAACCTCCACGTCTTTGTGGGCTTTGCTATGGAAATAGGTGTACTGATCGAATAGGTTCAGAGAAAACAAAATCCTTTTACTTAATTAGGAATCTTAATCCCTCATATTTGAAGGCGTCTGTCCCAAACAGGGATCTGACCAACAACTGATAGACTTAGATTTATTTTGTCATTTTGTATACACAAGTGTATACGAAAAGAAATTTCGTTTTGAACAGCTCTCTAGACAATTTAATTTTTTTTAAAGGGCAGCCTTGATAATGTATGCAGCAGTTGTTGTCGAACTGCTACTACTTCCTCCAGCTCCTGAAGCACTTGCTTCTCCTCTCTCAGGGGAGGAAGAGGATGATGCTGTAAGGGTGGTAGCCCCCTGAGTTGAAGAGGCTGACGTGGTTGAAGCAGCAGTGGTGCCATCGACAGGTTTAGTAGTGACAGATGATGCTGGAGAAGGTGTGGAAACCGGAGGGGGCCTGGAGGAGCTGGCTGGGGATGTTTCAGCATTTGGCAAGGAAGCATCTAGAGTGCTCTAGAATCTATATCTATATGAATATGAGATCTCAAATCTCTGAAATTTCTCAGTCATCCAGATTATGTGCAAGCTTGAAATGTTCAGTATAGGCAACTGGATGTGAAGTTTTCTAGAAGTCGTTTCGCCTCTCATCACACCTGGTCAGCCAGGCCAACCATGACGATCACTACTCCCTTTTCAGAGGCAAAGGCCAGTGTGGGGCAATACAGGCCAACAACGACCTCAGAGACCCCATTACTAAGGGGTGGACCTGTTCTTCAGTGTGCATGTTTTTTAAGCCATAATCATGCTTTGTTGCATTACGTCATAAAGCCTGGAACTCAACGCTAATTCAGAAATTTTCAATTGAGAAAGTTTCCTGGATGGAGAAGGAAACCTCTTCAAACTTGGAAAACAAAGTCCAGCGGTTTGTATTTTAACTTTTTTGGAGTACTGTACATGTAACAAAGAATTAGAGGGAACAAAAGGTGGTTATGATCCCTCATACTTGATTGGCCATGGAGGTCACCTGGGGGGAGATCAGAAATGTATAATGTGAGATTAAACCAAACATATTTTAAAGGGAATTTTAATTCAATAATGGGTTGACTCTTTCTACTAAAATTTCAGAAGATTTTAAATAGCTTAATGTGAAAAATAATTCTATTTTTCTCAAATATTTTAGTGGGAAGTGTTGGTCTAGTGGTTAGAGCACACTGCTCCCTGGGTGCTGCACAGTGGCAGCTCACTGCTCCCCAAATGAATGGGTGAAATGCAGAGGTGAAATTCTCCAATGTGAGTTTAATAAAGTTAAATTATATGAATCATTAGTTCTTACTTATTCACAGAATTCTGACTATTAATCCCAGAAGTCAAATTACCTTGGACTTTGTTGCTTTGATATAGTATAAATATTAAAAGTAATCATAACTCTGAGAATAATTCAGATGAAAGTGTTTTGAGGTACCTTGAATTAAAACCTTTAAGAAATTATAAATTAGTTTTAGGTATTTGGAGTAAAATTTGTTCAAGCGCCCCAACTTGATTTTTCCCCACCAAGGATCGAAAGTTTCGACTACTGTTTCAAGTCGGACGCATAAAGGTGTAACAACAAAACGTTTCCTAAACATCCGCCGCAAGCCCGAGGGTTATGAAAGCATGAGTAGCTTACACCGTTCAGTCTTCGCCATAGGACATTAACGTACTGATGGCCTAGTTTTCATGGCTTATTTAGCACCTCGACTTGGAATATCACGCATCTTCCCGCACCGTGTGGCTGTTTTCAGACTCCTTTGCACAGTAGGAATGGAAGACATGGGTTTGGCTGTGGGTCGTTCCGCTTTAGAGCGGCTCGACTTTGACAACGTCGTCCTAAAGAAACTTCCCATCGACCCGTCCGAGGAGCCGGGTGTGAGGCTGGTGAAAGGAGCGTGCTTCTCTCGGGTCAAGCCCGAGCCTTTGAAAAATCCCCGCTTCGTGGCCGTTTCTCATGAAGCCCTGGCGCTGCTGGGGCTGGACGGAGACCAAGTCCTCAACGATCCTCTCGGACCAGAGTACCTGAGCGGATCAAAAGTCATGCCTGGATCCGAACCCGCGGCTCACTGTTACTGCGGTCACCAGTTCGGGCAGTTTGCCGGGCAGCTGGGGGATGGAGCTGCCTGTTACCTCGGAGAAGTGAAGATTCCTCCAGGACAGAATCCAGAGTTACTCCGAGAAAATCCAAGCGGGCGGTGGGAGATCCAGGTAAAAGGAGCTGGACTCACTCCCTATTCAAGGTAACATGTCTCTAGTTAAAAGTACTGTTTAATTTTTTTTTGTGAACAAGTAAAAAAATAAATAAACAAAAAAAGAGAGACATATGATTCGTTATATTTTTCCCCCAGTAACTTTAAACTCCAGTTACATATGGTAAAGTTAGTAAAGTAAGATATTTTTTTCATGTAATTTTGGTTATTTTGGCTTTCGAAATTAAAACCTCGAAGTTCAGTGTCTGGAAATAGTGTCATTGCCTCATCCATAGGGTTGGCATGGCTTCCTCTGGCCCTCATAGGAAGCCTATGTTTCTCTAATAGTGTCCTCCATGGCATCAGTAGTGTTGGTTCTGGCGTTTCTTATCTTTATCTTCATTCTTAATGAGGTTTAAGGCAGGTACGTTTGCAGGACAATCAAGCACAGCAGTACCATGGTTAATTAAATTAGCTTCTGGTATCTTAAGGGTGGATGGGTGCCATGCCATAATGGAAAAGAGGAGCGGCTCAGCACTAGAGCTGTGACATTTGTAGGCCATGTGTCGGATTAGTGCACATTGGCTGTTAATGCATTGACTCAAGCCTTAGTCTACTCTTATAATCTACTAAATTCTTTAATATATTTTGATCAGCAATCCTCTCAAGGTGACAAAATCCCTGCTGTGTGTGCACCCTATCCTTTTAGATAAGACAACTGGCAAATCAGCCTTCTTCCATCAGTTGTGTAGGCCAATGCATGGATTAAAAAGTCTAGTTTGATTTAGATTTTTAATACAATTCTTGCTTCTGTTACTGCATGTAAGGCTTCTAGAAATAATAAAAAAAGTTACAAGAAATATAAACATTGATAGAATTTAATGATCTTTTTTTTGCACGCAAATTCAATTCAGTTCGTTTATATGATGCCAATTCACAACACGTCATCTCAAGGCACTTTACAGTTCACCAGATCATACAGTCAAATTGATTTAAAGTTTCTATCTAAGGAAAAACAGTTTATTGGATCGAAACACTGACTTGAATGCAAACCCTCACATTAAGCATGTCTGTAGCGACAGTCGAGAGGAAAAACTCCCTTTTAACAGGAAGAAATCTCCAGCAGAACCAGGCTCAGTGTGAGCGATCATCTGCAAAGGCTGGCTGGGGTTTAAGGAGACAGAAGCAGAGATACAAAAAGCAGCTGTAAAAGGCAGCCCCATCCAGGAAACACACAGCCAGACAGATGAGCTCTGAGCTAACTCCCATGTCAGAGGATGAAGAGAGCAAATTTCTACAAATCACAAACTTTATTTTATCTTGGGGGTGAGTTTGTTAGTCACAAACAAACACAAAGTCTACTTGTTAAGAAGGAAATATAGAAGGAAATATATAAAGAATTATAAAATCTGAACATTTTTTGTTTTGTTTTAAAACATGTTGTGTGTTCTGCATTTCTTTTTGTCCCCTAAGATACAGTAGTTTGTTAAACTACGGTATCAAAACAACTATAATCCTTGATAATTCCTTAAGGGTTTGGTCCCTACCGGCTTTACAAGTCTTAAAAAGCTATGTTTTTAATTTCTATTTGTATATTTAAAAAAAAAGCTCAGTTATATTGGAAGGAGATCTTTTTCAATTAATCAGATTCTGAGTTAGGTTTAGGTCTGGACTTTGAATGGGCAAATAATAACTGCTGCCTTTATTAAATGTCTCATATTATGCTACATTTGAAAATGAAAAAATATTAACAATGAGGCCAACAGAGCATGCTTTCTCGGTTTGTGCCGAAAAATTCCTCTGAAATTAGGCAGACTGCATGTACCAAAAATCTCCCTATTCAGCCCTCCTTTGGACAAGCTGTTTTGGGGCTTTCCATGTCCCCTTCTTCCCGAAGGCTGCGCCCCCGTAACCATGACAACCAGTCAGACTTTGTAAAGATAGCCTAGGAGCGTGGGATAATACATTACATGCAGGCAGTAGCTTGACCGATGGGCTGCTACAGACTGCTCTGAACAGCTTATTACCCTTATGACATCATAAAGGGAACACTTTTCAAACAGAACACATTGAGAGGTGGAACATTAGCTAAGAGGTGGACAAATGCAGTGATATGAGGTTCTCATTTGTGAACCTCATACACAAGCTTTTGGACACATATGACTGTTAAACAAATTTTTATAAAGTTAAATTTGCATAATATGGGACCTTTAATGCTCATTTTCCATAGCATACTGCTGCCACTGCTAACTTTCACTTTGGCAATGGTTTCCAATGTTCCTTGTCACAGGTAACAGTTTGCACAGCAGTCAAATTCATGCATTAGAAATGTGGTGCCTTTTTTATTCCCCTGTGGATTTACAAAGCCACCCTCTTCATTGCATTTATCATTTTTCTTTGTACTCAAAGCTAATAGCTACCGTTTTCATCAATCACACAGAATTAAAATACGTGCATCCCCTACAGAAAAGCTGATGGCCGAAAAGTCCTGCGATCAAGTATAAGAGAATTCCTGTGCAGTGAGGCAATGTTCTTCCTCGGCATTCCCACCACCAGAGCCGGCTCTGTTGTCACCTCCGACAGTAAGGTCATAAGGGATGTGTACTACAGTGGAAATCCCTGTTATGAGAGATGCTCAGTTGTCCTCCGCATTGCCCCTACCTTCCTCAGGTAAGCACGTACTCTTCTTGTTTCCTGTATAATGGATATCTTAAGTCATCCTGATGTTTTCATTGGAGGTTGTTTGTTATTTTCGGTCTGCACAGGTTTGGATCCTTTGAGATCTTCAAGCCAGCTGACGAGTTCACTGGACGCCAGGGTCCCAGTTATGGACAAGAGGAGATCCGTGGTCAGATGTTGGACTATGTCATCGGAATGTTTTATCCTGAAATTCAACAGAACTTTCCAGACCAGGTGGAGAGAAACGTGGCTTTCTTCAGGGAGGTGAGAAATGTTTAAAGTAGAAATTATTTTTCTAAGGCTGTTTTTGTTTTTTGTTTTTCTTTTAGTAAAATAAGTTCAATGTCTGTACAAAAACTGCTCCCTCTGTTTACAACATTTTAATGGAAGGTAATGTTATTTCTATTTTAAAAAAGCGAATTTGAAGATGCCATTTTCTCTCTTCCTTGTAATTGTAGCTGATGTGTCGTACGGCTCGACTCGTGGCTCAGTGGCAGTGTGTGGGATTCTGTCATGGAGTCCTGAACACTGACAATATGAGTGTGTTGGGTCTCACTCTAGACTATGGTCCATATGGCTTCATGGACAGGTAAGACATAGGGGTTATGATATTAATGTGGAATGATTGACTTTATGGCTGTTGAAAGAGCAGAGATGGCAAAAGTACTCACTTTCCGTACTTGAGTAAAAGTACAGATACTTGTGTTAAAAAATACTCTGGTAAAAGTGGAAGTACTGATTAAACTTCTTTACTCAAGTAAAAGTAACAAAGTACAGGCTTGTAAATTTACTTAAAGTATAAAAGTAAAAGTAGAAACCACTTTTTTCATGCCGTTGCCTACATTTTAAATGGATGTCTGCCAATAGGACTAGATCTCCGTTGTGTTAATTTTCAATCATCTCGTCGTCCATACTACTATGCTAACGCCACCGCCACCAAGCTGCAATGATTTGCCGCCAATGAATACCGCCGAATCTGTCGATTCATCTTGTAGTGGTGCGTCAAATGCAACGTAGATTCCCATCCAATTAGATTGAATTTGGTATTGATGACGTGAAAAATAATAACGGTAACTCCATTGAAATGATTCAAAACTAACTACTCCTTAAAATGTAAGGAGTAGAAAGTACAGATATTTGTGTAAAAATGTAAGGAGTAGAAGTAAAAAGTCGCCATAAAAATAAGTAGTAAAGTAAAGTAAAAATATCAGAAAAATCTACTTGAGTACAGTAACTAAGTATTTGTACTTCGTTACTTCCCATCTCTGTGAAAGAGTATATAAATATACCGGGAAAATGGGATCTTTGTACACGTTATGTTAAAGGAGAAAAGCCTTCACTGAATTTAGGAGGAGGATTAAGGTTTCAGCTTCCAAACATTTACAATTCAGTCCTGAAACTCATTCCAAAAACAAAATATACCAGCAACCTCATCAGGATTTGAATGGAAAAACCCAAAACTCATACAAAACAACAGACTTCAACGACCTAAGAGAACAACAGGTTGATCATTGATCTGCATGTGACTTGGAATGTGCTTAGGAGGATGGGCCTCCCGGTGCTTCAAAACATCAGCACTTCAACTAATAGTTGCTCTAGAGAAAGGTAACAGAACCAACAAAGACTCCTGGGTTACTGGGTTAGTGAGACAACTTCAGCTTTAACCCTGACTTTCCACAAAGTCAGGGTACCACAAAGCTTGATTCACTCTTGGAAAGGCTAGCCACCGTGGTAATGTACTCTGAACTGCAAACTTGCTTCAGGGCAGGCTAGCTTTCAGATTTGATCTGAATCCTGGAAAACGCTTCAATCAGCAGCCAATCAGCTGTTTTGGAAACAATGATGGACCCTTGTGTAATTGCTATACTGAAGCTGCACCAATTGGGGATTGATGGTAAACTGGCAGGTAAAAAAGAAAAAAGTTCTAACACATTTAAAAAACCAGGACTATTTGACTCAGTCTCCTCACTTCTTGTATTAATATGATGCAGTTGTAGCTTCAGATTCAGCTTTGTTGTCCAACTAACTAGAGTCCAACTAACTAGATAAAATAATGTTTTAGTGTTTTATTTTCAACTTCCCCAAAGTCCTCTTCACAGCTCAGGGTGTTACATCGAGGGGATGAGACATGATTAATGCACTACAGTGATTGGGATGTATGGTTGTTAAATGACAATGTGTAACTTATGCATTTACACAGCCAGGAATCCTTTGTCACGTGTTTTGGCGTCTCTTTCATGGTACCTCCTTGTATAATTTTTTTATTGAGATTTTTTTTTTCCTCTTTGAAACCGCCCCTTTCTACATACTCGATCACAGATCCATGATTAGTCGAAGCTAGTTTGAGTTAGCGAGTTGATAACCAGCTTCATGGTGCTGTTGATCCTGATTGCCATTGTTGGGGATTGCTTAAAATAGATAGTCCGGAAGTAATCCCACTACGTTTAGCTCGATTCGTTGTACAGGCCTCTGGTCTTGTGGTCTTCGATTTCATCCTGTTCTGTGGATACACAAAAGTGTTTTCTACAATGTCCCTTAATTAGATTAGAGAGAAGAAACCTCAGTTTTTTCAATTCTCAAACCAGACTTTATTTGCATTAACCTCTTCTTACACGTAAATATATTCGAGTTTGAACCTTCTGATATATTTTTCTAGATGTTCTGTTTCTTTTATGGTTAATCTTCAATAATGTGTAAGTAGTGCTTCATTATTCTATCGATTTTATACAATTTACCAGGACTATTGGCAGCTAAACAGACTCAACATGCACTACCTTCATTATGCCAGACGGTTCAATGTTCTTGGCTTTAGAAGCTTTCGCTTGATTCCTTTTATTAATCTCTTTATGGCCTGATAGCCTAATCTTTGCCCCCATTTAAAAGTAAAACATTACCTTAAATTGTATTTTTCTTGTCCATGTGTGCAACTGTAGATTATTAGTTGTGCTGAGTTGAAGCAGGGACTTCTATTATTATTTCCTCATTCAACTTTTAACTAGCATTGTATGTGGTTCTCACTGCTTATATAGCATCCTTAACTGTATGATCAGTCAAACATGTAATAAATAGTGATCATGTGTAATCTACATCAGTTGTTTCAGGATTTCTCTGTTCATTTCAGGTTTGATCCGGATTTTATTTGCAATGCATCAGACAACTCTGGCCGATATTCATACAAGGCCCAGCCGGCTATCTGCAGGTGGAACCTGGTGAAGCTGGCAGAGGCTCTGGCTCCAGAGCTGCCAACGGATCGGGCTAAGGCAGTGATCGATGAATACCTGGATCAGTTCAATCGCTACTACCTGGAAAACATGAGGAAAAAACTAGGCTTGCTTAAAAAGGAGGAGCCTGAGGATGAAATCCTGATCACAGAGCTGCTACGCACTATGCATGATACAGGTTGGGCTGCGGTTTGGGACCTTTAATGTGTTTTGCATCTCAAGAAAAGAGCATTAACTCAAATGAACTTAATTCATTAACTTTCCATTTGTTCATCTAGGTGCTGACTTTACGAACACCTTCCGCAGCTTAGCTCAGATTTCCTGTTCACCAGAGGGAGAAACGGAGCAAGATGAGGAGATTGTTAAGAAAGCCACAGAACTCCTTCTTGAGCAGTGTGCCTCTTTAGACGAGCTAAAGTCAGCAAACACTCCCACAATGGATCCCCGGTGAGCTATTTAGATAATGAGCAAGGATAATGGTATCAGTCAGACAAATGAAATGGGTAGAAATTTTCCATCGTAAGACCAAAAATAAATGTACCTGATAGGGCCTGTATAGACTTAAGGAAATGTCAGATTTACTTTGTTTTATCCCAAATAAATCAGACCTAGTAAGATCTGAGATGTTGCTTCTACATGTTAACTTTACATGGGTACATGGGCTCTTCTTTTCTTTCCTTTTTTTAAACAAGTTCTAGCTTTCTAGTGTTGTCTCATTTCTGGTACGGGTGAAATAGTTACATAGGTCAGGGGAGTGAGGCAATGTGTTCTAGATGGTGACCCACATGTTTCAAATATGATTAGATGAAGAATTTATTTTGGAGGGAAAAAACTACAAAACTGCTAAATTGAGAAGCTGTTCATGTTTATTATGCTGAGTCTATTTCCTCTGACCTTGTATGGTCAAACTATGAGCTGAAAGATGGAGAGGTGCCTCTTTTAGCCCTGCTATTTTGGCACAATCATAGCATACTGGCTAGGTTCCATAAAATTAAAAGGAAGGGAAAGGTATTGATTTTATGATAGACTGTAGACTTATTTTGTTAAATGTAGTGCTTATTTCTGACTCTAGAGGGCAGTTGTGGCTTAAAACATTACTTTTATCTGCTCATACTGCTGAAGATGCAAACACCTGGTTTTAATGATAATGATGACACTTTTCCTGACTGGCCAGAGAACCTGCCTGACATTAAACACATAGAGTATGTCTTTATTTTTTCTTAAAGACAGTTATTGCCTGTATTTTAATAGTTAAGCATCCTTTATCTTTTTGTTGACAGTGAGTTGGCAATGCTGCTCTCTATGGCTGAGAGCAACCCCGCTCTGTTTGAGATGATCTCAGACAGGGCGACCATAGCAAAGCAGCTGGACAGAATGAGCAAACTGAAAGTCCTGATGGAGACGAGTCAGGAGGAGCTGAGAGGCAGGCAAGCTCAGGAGTGGACTTCCTGGATTAAACTCTATAGGTAAGCGACTTTCTTTGCAAAACTACACAGGAAAAGGACTAATTTGGAACAGGCTGACTATAGACCGAGTGGGGTGGTTATCATTCTGGTGGAAGTCTAACTGATAAAAGGGGCGGACAGACAGAAATGGGAGGAAATGGGGTTTTCTGGTGGATAATGTCCCAATGCTTTATTTCACAAGTGTTTTCATGTTATCGCTGCACAGGAAACGCCTGGCTCTTGAGCTGGAGGGTCAGAGTGACGCGTTGGCTGTACAGGAAGAGAGGGTGAGGGTGATGAACAGCACTAACCCTCGTGTGGTGCTCAGAAACTACATTGCCCAGAATGCAATAGAGGCTGCAGAGAATGGGGACTTTTCTGAGGTCAGGATCCACATCATAAGTTGTTTTTTTGTTTTGTTTTTTCCCTTTGTGCCCTGAAAACAGCTTTTCTCATCTCTCTTTGACCACTCTGTCATTCTGCAGGTCCAACGGGTCCTCAAGGTCCTTGAGAAACCATTCTCTTCTCAACCAGGGCTGGAGCTTCCTGCGTGGGTGGGTTCGCATGGGAGCACCGCGCAGGGGGAAAGGGATGAAGGAGAGGAGCAGCAGCAGCAGGGAGCCTCTGCATCACCAACAGCTATAGACCCTGTGCCATATGACAGCAAGCCCCCAGCATGGGCACGCCAAATCTGCGTCACATGATCTTCGTAAACGCTTCCTTATTGCTGCCATGCCTGAAAGAACAAAAAAGTTGGAAGTTGTTGATTGATTTATATCTTTACTTCTATGTCCCTCTCCTGATTTAGTCAATGTCCAACTTTCTTTTTTGTTTAGCTCTGGCAGGGCAGCATTGAGGGAGTAGTGACCCTTCACAGATTAGCACGATGACACAAAACAGATAGGGGTTAAGAGATGACTCGCTTCTTCCATTGCTTACAGTTTCCAAATTTAAAGTGCTCTGTTTTTATTTTAAAACATTTAATAATGAAGATAAAAAGACATGTTCAGATTCAATCATGGATCTGAAGGTTCCAGAAGGAAAAGTCTTTCGAATGCATTTGTTTGAAGGGATTTTCAACTTTACAGAAACCAAACTTGGCTCACCTCCACCTTATCTGTTCAGTGTCACTTCTGCTATTTATGATGATTCAGGCAACAAGTCCCAAGGTGACCTGCCTGCCTCTGACAAACTGTGGGTTGTCACTTCTAATGTACACCAAATATGCAGACTGTAAGTTTAAAAGGGAGTGTTTGCAGTGGAAAGAAACACGCACAACTAATTCTTCTTTAAAGAAATTATTTTCCAGCAATGGGGCTCAGACTGTTATTTTCTTTTTCTTAATTTCTTCACTCAGGCAAGTTTCAATGATGAATATCAAACCTGGATATAACTGTTTACTTATAGTAAATACCCATGTTTGCTACACAAAATAAGATGCAATAGGAAATATAACTTTTGTCCATATGTAAATAACATGTAGAAATAAGCTCTTCATCTGTTAGAACCAGTTGTTACTAAACAGCTTTTAGTAGACTGTTTGATAGATTTTAGCCTTAAATTTTAAGTCACATTTGAACACAGAAACTTTTAAATCTCAATAAAAAAATGTTTTTTTTTTCAATAATGAGAAGTGTATTGTGCATAATCACTCTCTTCTTCTCTGATGCCCCTAATTAAAGTCAGTGCAGCTGACTTTAATTAGGGCAGTCACCCAGGTTTTGAGGCCATCTTACCAACTGTATAGTATGTAGAATTTACTTTTTGCCTGAAATAATTATTATTTTTTTTAACCGGCGGTCAGGATGCTGCTCAAATACATCTACATTATGCTATTTTTAATCCTGCTTTTAGATTTTGTGCTTTTATTTTTATAAATATGGACCCATCTTCCTGTTTATTTAATCCTTTATTGTCCAAGTGGCTATTTTTAGTCATTCTGATATAAACACCACTTTGCTGAAGACCAAGGAGGGATTATGAGGTCAAATGTGATCTACAGGATCTACCTCTGTCTTTAAAGATACGTTTACATCCTATCTATCAAAAATAACAGCTTTTTTTTTTTTTTGACAAAAAGCACAGCCATATCTATGTACACATGAATAGAAATGAGGTTTTGGATTGTAAAAATATATTCCCATTAGGTTTCACTATAATTTCATTAAAGGATCGATCATTTTTATGCTGCCCCGGCGAAATTTTCATTAAATGATCATGAGAATGACAAAGATTTATAGATGTCTTTTAATGGCATAAAATATATTTATGGTATGATAATATTTTAATGTTATAAAAACTTCATATACTCAATATATTCAGAATGTGTTTTTCAGTTTACTGGTGAAAAATGAGGGAGAACAAAAAGATAATCTATTCCACTGCTGGATTTTCTTTTTATATATGAAAAATATAGCAGGACAAATCTTTTCTTAATTTGGGGCCCCATCAGTTTAGGGCCCTTGGAATCTTCCTAACCCCCCTGAAATGTTACGTGTGAATGCCTTTGCAAGGTAGTACCAGTTTGGGTGTCAGCCTTGCCTGAAACAACCTCATAGTTATTACGTTCATGTTCCAACACGTCTTCAAATAATTACTGAGGAATCCTGCAGCTATAACGCAGCTTCAGGTTTTCATCCAACCTGTGCGCATGAGTGAGTTTTAAAATTGACACCTGCCTTTCATTCACCACTGTTCTTCACCTTTAATTATTGAGCTCCGGGCATTAGTCAGGAGTGTTTTTTTTTTTTTTTTTTTTTTGGCGACCTGAGGGTGCGCCCTGAACTGCACTGAGCGCATAGGTGGAATCGAGAACAGATGAGTGCGCAGCGCCGGAAGACAAAGAGATCACAGGGAAGCTTTTATGTCACACGTCTGAACCGATATATTCCGCATTCATCATGGCAAAGCGGGTCAGACCTGGATTTTATCGGCAGGAAATAAACAAAAGCATCTGGGAAGTACCGGAGCGGTACCGCGACCTAGTCCAGGTGGGGACCGGAGCGTACGGAACTGTGTGGTAAGTAAAGTGGAGTGAAAGAGGATCTTTGATTGTTATGTGGAGGGGAGGAGGAGGGGGGTAACAAAGAGCGTCAGTGGACAGATGGTGCCTGTCCAAGCAGACACTCAGTTAACAGCCAAACAAAAGGAAAAAGTGTCCACGCTTGGTTGATCTCACGCTGATCCACTTCCTCATATGATGGTGATGATGATGATGATGATGATGATGAAGAAGACGCTCATCGACACCGCGGCGCATTGTGGGCAGCCATTCTGACAGCCTTTAGAGAGGGGCACTTTGCTTTATTGTGATCTGGAAAGTTTATACAAATGCCTGTTTAAAAAAAAAAAAAAAAAAAAAACTCCAGTTACACAATCAAGTCTGTGCATGTCGTGTTCTGCCTTGTTCCCGTATCAAAGTGAAGTTCCTATGTAACCTAACTGCTTGTTCCTCATGCTTCAAATACTGCAGGTTATCAGGTAATGATTTTCTGCGCTCCTTCCTGCAGCTCCGCGCTGGACTCCAAAACAGGGACCAAAGTGGCCATCAAGAAGCTCTACAGACCATTCCAGTCTGAGGTGTTCGCAAAGCGGGCCTACAGGGAGCTGAAGCTTCTCAAACATATGAGACATGAAAACGTGAGGCACAACATAAACAATGCGTCCTTCTGATCAGAGCAGCTTCATATGGATGCATATCAGGAATTAGAATCTCAACTAAAAGTTTATTTCACTATTCAGTTATATATATATTTTTTAAACCTTTGGACCTAATCCATGTTATTTTAGTAAGATTCCAAAATCCATTATCTTAAAAAAAGTGATGGTAAAAAACTTAAATTATAAACACATTTTTAAAGTTGTGGACTTAAAAGAACCACAGTCACTTGCATTCTCCACATTTAGGTAATATCACAAAAATATTAAAGATATTGACTGATAATGACAATAGTTTTTCTAAGTCTTAAAAAAAAAAAGTTTGACTGCTCTTAAACAATGCTAGATCCAAACGTATTGACTGAAGTTTAGTGCAAGAATAAAATGATCGAAAGCTGGGAAGGTGAAGTCCAAGACTTTGCTGGAGATAAAGAAGGTGTGGACTGTGATGAAATGACTGTACCTGTACAGTATGACGCAGGCGATCAGCCTGAGCCATCGATGAGGTGTAGGAAGCCGAGGCTTGTATCTCTCACTTTCCCCTTGTCAAAACCCACAAGTTCTGCATTTGATTTCAGGTCCGATGATACCATGGCCCCTGAGGCAAAATGAATTGGAATCCCTGTAAAGTTTGTCAGCCTAGCTGAAGTGCTTAACTATGTTCTATATATTATAAATTTCCTCCAAACTCTTGAATTGCTTATGTGTCGCAGTCCTGTCAGTGACTATCTGCTGGACAGCTGTAAACTCAGCAGTCTTCCCTGCTTTTTTACTATCACAATTAAGTTAAAAAATATATATTTTCTTGGTAATGTAATTCATTTCAACAAAAAATAGTTTGGGGTTTCTGTTATTTGTTTTAGCAGAAATATATGCGTTCTAAATTTTTTGTATCAGTTTTGCTCTTGAAACTGAATTATTTCCATTAGTCAACTTGTTGACATTCTGGTTTATGCAGATGTTTTTGTGGTCAGTTTCATTCATACAGAGTTAAAAAAAAATTGAGATTAGTGGCTTAACTGGTGGTTTAAACAGAGGTGAGCTCTCAGGAACATAAAATCTTAGGGTGGCTCTGAACATTGCAGCGTTCGATACTTGATGAGGTAAATGAAAGAACGCAGAGTGTAATATATTTCCATTGCATGCAGGTGATTGGTCTTCTAGATGTGTTTACTGCAGACCATTCTCTGGACAGATTCAAAGATTTGTAAGCATGCATTTATTTCTCTCATCATGACGCCTCTGTAAACATCTCCGCTTGTACACAACAGTGTGCCTTACAATGATAATTGCAATCTGTTCCTGCCTTTCAAGCTGTCTGGTGATGCCGTTCATGGGAACAGATTTGGGGAAGCTGATGAAAAAGACCAGATTATCAGAAGAAAAAATCCAGTGTTTGGTTTATCAGACCCTCAAAGGATTAAAGGTTTGATGCTGTCCAAAAAGTTTTTCCTTAATGTTTCAATTGATTAAACTCACTCTCTGTTTCTCTCTTTCAGTATATTCATTCTGCTGGTATAATCCACAGAGTGAGTTTATTTTATAATATCCATGAGGAATTTTAAAAGTATTTGAAGTAGACATATGCTTCTTTTCTCTGAGTTTCTAACATGTTTTTTTCTTTACCTATTTAAACTTTTTCAGGATCTCAAGCCAGGAAATCTTGTTGTCAACCAAGACTGTGAGCTTAAGGTACTGCTATTTCCATCACTGTGGTTAAAACAAATAACCATTTATAAACCAAAACTAAAAAAACAAAGTCAAATTTAATTGCTGGAAAATAATGTTCAGTTTTACTAACAAATGGCAACATTTACAGTGGTAACAGTGATTTACTTGTAGAAAAATTGTACATAAAGACATAAATGTTAATAACAAAATACCAGGTGGCTTAATTGATGGATTTTTTAAGCAATATCTTTACTGATCTCATTTACACCATCTGTTGGGAATATCTAGACTCAGTTCTATAGTATTGTATGTTTTGCTTTAGCTCATCACCCAAGTTTTCTGTAAGATTTCATTTTGTGGACTAAGATGCCCAATTTATACCTGATGAGCCCTTTTTTCTCTATCATTTTAACCCACATTTCAAATCATTTTTCTACTGACAAATCTAATTTTAGTTCACTGGTGTAGTACATCTGATTTTCATTTAAAAGTTCCTGGTCTTTTAAAGAGTTCAAGCAGCAGTGGAGTCTAAAACGGTTCCTGTGGCTTTTGTAGGAGAAACAGCCCATCAGAGCCTGGATTATACTCAGCAGTGACCAGCGAATTTCTTTTTCAACCTTTGCTCTTTTTTTTTTTTTTTTTAACCAGTGGCAGCTGGCCAATAGATGGTGCTAGGACGCCACCCCTCCCACCCATTGACCTCGATTAAGACATAAAAAAACATAAAAATGTAATTATGAAATGAAAATATTTAGAAGTATAATCATATAGATGTGCAAGATAAGTATTTAATCTTTAATGATGAGTATTTCCGTATTAGATAGGGACACTTTGCTTTATTGTAATCTGGAAAGTTTACACAGATGCCTGCTTAAAAAATAAATAATATTATTATTCCGTATTATTACTTATTTCCGCCCTGGGGTGCAAAAATCTTTGGCCATTGACTCTGCAATGCAAAAGGATAGGAGAGGGCGCAGCTCTCCTGTGGCCCGAGCTCCCCCCATCTGACAGGAATTGTCGTTACAGTGGTAGTGCGGCTGATTGACAGGTTGAGTCCCGGAAGTGAAGTCCCTTAACGCAAACTTACCAAGAGAAGCTGGAGGGTAAAGCGTTTGGACCTGATCAACCAAACATCAAAATTTACAGCAATCCAAAGACAGATGGAGACGGTACACGCTTGGTCTTTTTCCAGTACCTGGTTTTGCTACAAGGCTTTTGCTAACTGC